TCTCTTCCCCACAGTCTGCCACTTTGCCGTTGTATAATCTTCGCCAACTAAACATTGTCCATGCGGTCATTGCCTCGTCTCCGTATTGCGCCGTTTTGAACCAATTTCTAATTATTATTCGTTCCACAAATACACAAGTTAATGTTGGTTACACTCTAATTTCCACTTGCAACGATAGGATTACAAATAGCCGATGTTTAACGGTTGAAGTCCGTAACGTATGAATTTTTTGATAGCCACGTATAATTACGAAGCATGAAACAATAATACAAATAATTTAACTTGTCCAGAAGGAACAGACGCGGGTTAACACGAAGATATCCGTTCAATCGCAAAGACGCTCACGCACTGGTTGCTACCAAGCCTCAGAAGACCACATTTGCAAACAAGTCACATGGTCGTGACATCCGCTGTGTCACAAACGTGATCACAATGCTATAGGAATTGAAGATACAGCGCAAGTAGACCAAGATGAGCCGACTTTGTATGCACGACTAGTATTCCTATTCACAACCTTGGACAAAGATAGCATAATGTCCGTTATAATAAAAAATATATTGCTTCTAGCAAATATGTACATTGCCATTTTCAAATGAACCGTTGCCTAATGTTAGGATATGAATAGGAACTGCTCCTCATTCTTTTTATGGAGATTAAAAATGGCCTGTACTATGCATGGAATATTTATTAAGGTCACTTGTAAGTTGTATGTAAAAGTAAGTACATTGTACCCGCTTTAGTATTTAAGTCTAATATCATCATTGGCTCAAAAGTCGCTAGTCAAACTCGATCCCACAAGGTTCACCTTGAAGTTATAACCGTCAGTGATGTATTTTTTGCTTTTTAAACAAAAAAAAAGAACCCGCCACTAATAGTTGCTATGTTCGTACTATACCTACATATTACTAGTTAATGTGACATTACTTCTTGTATTTCCATTAAAATACACCTAGGTATATATATTTACAAAGCCATTATTGTCCCTATTGCTGGATTTGGATTTGCGATTATGATTCTTAGCACTGAATTTGGGTAAATGCTCTATGACGAGGATATAGCATAATACGACAGGACTAAATTACGTAACATTGTCGTCAGGATTTTGGGCGTCTAGGAAAAATTGCTTCCGAAACTTTTGAATTATAATTAATATTAGACACCTCTACTAGCCTCACAAAGAAAAAATATCACTACAATATTAATAAAAGAAGACACAGATAAAAATGGTTTTAATAAATGTTTATTTTATAATAAGACTTAATCCTCAGGTAGATAAGGCCAGTTCATTTACCTATCTAGATTAGCTTTACGTATATGTTCTTTTGGAACAACTACAATACTATAGAGGAAAAATATCGTTGCAATGGCAACTTTGTACATAGTAACTTTAATTGTTTCAGCTATAGAATTTAATTTAATTACAATGTCAGGCTTCATGAGTTCTTTTGCTTCTGCGTTGATTTCAATTTTTACAATTCCATGCACATGTTAAGTTGTCCACAAAAATACAAGCACTAGCCGTAGTGTAGGACTTTTTGTCCAGTTTGGATATCTAATTTATTAAGTACTAATAAGATCTTTAAATTTTTATTTCTAGTTTCTGAAGCATAGTTCCACCGTGATTTATTGCCACTTTAGCTGCTATAGTTACATCAAAATGTGTTTACTGTAGAATTAATGTTAAACAAAATATTGTAGCTTATTGACAGTGATTGACTGTGTTTAGTAAGCTATTAGCAACGTCAATTCTTATTTATTTGTTTGCGTTGTACGAGTATGTGTTTTATTGGACTTATTATTAGATCAGACGTTTTGTCTGAACGCTAGCGCATCTGAAGAGTTCAGTGTCTCTCTAAATTAAGGTTATTGTGTCGTGAACTATGTCGGTCGGTATACCTAAGTGTCATGTAACGGTATTAGCATTATGCAGGCCGGTAGTGCTGGCGGAAATTATTGCCGAATAGACAATGATCGCGTTGGTAATTTTACGGTTGCTAGTGCCGTAACAATGTCAGTGTCCTCTGCACTGCTTTTTACAGGTTCTAATTTATGATAGTAACCAGTTTTCAGTAGTTTTTGCTCAATCAATTCTCACATTACGTACAAATTTCTATTTATTTACATATTTTATTTAATGATACTGTAATATGACGACTGGTGTCCTCCACAAACGATGTGACGCTAACTAGTTGGTCACAGATATTATGTAACATACTTATTACATCACAGTAGGTAAACAACTACAAATAGGGTTAGTAGGGTTTCCTCTAGAATGTCTCGGAGTTGAATGACACGCGTACATTATTATGTTCGTACTTATCTTTGAATGTGATTAATACCCTACATAGTTTATTGACGTTTTCATATTATAATAATGCAAAATGTTCATATTTTATGATTTTATCATAGAATTGAGAATTGGTCCTAAGAAAAGTAGCATAACCGTAATCAATTAAAAATCATTGCGAAAATGACTTCTGCTTCGTCTTGGTTTTTCCTTGTTCTTATTGTTATTCTATTCGCTTCCTAGTTTTTTGTTACTTATTCGTTGATCGTTGTTTTGTTTTGTCCATTGTGGCTTACCAGTCTTTTTCTAGGTTTCATGAATGGTGTAAACAAATTTGGTTGTACGCCTACGGTGCGTACTTGCTAATTCAATGTTTAAATAAACTACTCGTATAGGTGAAAGCTATGAAAATGTCAACATTGACGATCGCTTTCAACTCGCCAGCGGAGCTTTAGTAAAATTGGATCTAAAATTTGAAGTACTTGAGGAGTAAAAATAGATCTCTATCGATCTTAGAAAGCGAAGCGATGTCAGGTGTGCATTTTCCCGCGATACCTTACAAAGCTTACGAAGTCTAGATTTTATGTTAATTTCCTTTGATTTATTTTCTAACAATATTCGTCATCTGAGTCGTTTCACTAGTCGACGTCGTCAATCAGGACCGATTACAATATTATGATGATTTAAATAATGTTATCGCATCATTATTATACCTTAATTAATGTTTACTTGACTATTAACTAGTATATTTATTAAGGTAAGGTACTGATGGACACTTTTGTATTATTATTATTAATTTAATATTGCTGCAATATACATAATACAAGTCGTCAATAACTCGATCTCGAATAGAATATGCTTATCGTAATTTGTTGGAAAAATGTTTAAAAACAATCGGACCTATATTCAATGTTTCTAGCAACATTTGTTATCGTAGGATACGATTTTGTCGCTGATAGTGATTATTGTAACGGGTGTAATCTGATCTTCGGCCTCAGATCCGTTCAGTCATTGGCACGCAGTGACTCAGACAGTGACTCAGGAAGGATATTTTTTTTCAATCACCTTAAATATTTCGTCATTGTGTACAATAATGCACATTTGAACATTTCCTCATTACACACTTTTTGCCCTAAAATTTCACAATCATAATTTCTCTCTTCAAAAAAAACGTTTTTTACTTACATCATCGTTACAAAACAATATAAGTAGGTAGGTACCAGCTATTATTTCTTAATAGAATGTGTGCTCCAATTTACGTAGGTACTGTAATTAAATCTGTTCCAAATAAAACAGCAGAACAGAAAACAACACATTGTTGCAGATGCTTGTTCAGCTATAAATAAATGGTGCATGCGGTAGACTTATGCTCCTCTCAAATAGTCGACTTTCAAAAGCCATATGTTCCAACTGCAAACGCTTACAATGAGCTCTGTGGGTTCGCACCTGCGTCCGTCCCAGTCCCACCCGCACGTGCTTATTCCAGCTGTTGTTATGGCGTACGCTCCCGACACAAAGATGTGCGCAAGATTTGCATTACTATTTCATTCCAATGCACGACATTTCTTTCCACTTGCCAAACATTTTAGTGATATCATTTCCAAGACATTTGGAATATTGATTAGACAAGATGATCTTGAAACTTGACCATTTTATTGACCTGGTGAAACGAATTATGGAGTTATCGAGTACGAATTAAAGACGGGCTATTGGTGTGATGATCTCACCGGTCGTCAATCTTGACAATGCAAAGGACCGGTCGTCTGCGGGGCGCGGCAAGGGACGGGACGGGGACTCCGCTGCAGGGTTTGTGCGATTCACGGCGCACGCGGTACGACCCACAGTCACTAGTCAGTGCGACAGTTGGTCGCTCAATGCGCGTCGCGCGCGCCTCTTTTCCAAATTCCTTCAACATTCCTAAATTATTTACTAGTCAAAATGAAGTTCAGTGTTTACGTTTATAATCGGAAGTGTTTGTGCAAATTTAAAAAAAGTGGATTAGTACTCTAATCGTAACTTGCTACGGTCCAAAGAACAATGCTGTGGGAAAAAATAACGTTCAGCTGGCATCGGCAGTCGTTCCCAACCTACCTTACCTCTCTCCCCGCACCGGCAGGGTACCGGGTTCAATGCGCCTCTCTGCGTTTATTCATCGTTTGTGGGAAAAGTTGACCCCCGTTTTTAAAAATTATTGTTAACGAATTCACACGATTCGTATTGTCGTAACTACCGCATCTTAGATGATCGAATTGAAAGTTGGCAACACAAGCGAGCTTGTAGATGCAACAGGTATTTAATTGAAAGCTACTCAAATGAAACTAATTCTGTGTAAAGTGATTAATGAGGCACCAGCGTAAATACCGAATGTTTTTATGCGCCAACTGACAAGGTTGCAGCATTCCGCAGACCCAAACTATTTATTCTGGGCTTTGCGATGTTTGTCGAGTTTCAACTTCGTCGAAATTATTATCTTACTGTGTTGCGGATAGAACATTATCAGAGGAGGACAATACTCTTACATTAGGCAACGTGTGTGATGTTAGTGAATGAAATGGTGAAATAGCCGTTGAATTTCAACGGAATTAGTGAATACGTCCGCCGTAATGTGAATAGTGACGACATCGAGTGATGTGAATGTAGTAGGTACTACTAGTGAATTACAGATCCACGTGTGAAGTTTAGTTTTGAAAAGAAATAGTGTGGACACTTGACGATGGGGAATCAAGGATCTTCAGCGCACGAGCCATTCGACAGGGCGCAGGCGGCTGCCAATGCTGACCTTAAAATGGTACAATCATTTGATTATGCTTCATTTACAATTCATTATTCAACTTGAGTCATTGAATACATACTAATCTATACAGGTAGTCGGTAGTGGTGTGGCCAACGTTTATTGTTCCTGCAGTTCCTACCTCACGTACATTTAAATAGGTACCTACACACCAGATAATAACGAGTTACCTGCGTGCTTAGCGTGCGCAGATCTAGAAGTCTTTGTACTTTGCCTGCTTAGTTCGCTGGCTACATCGCTAGGTCTGAATAGTGCCACGGAATAGGCGAAGTAACGTCATCCTCACATTCGAATTTGTGTAATATTATATTCATACTTGATTCAACCTATGACGTCAAAGTTTTTTGTTCATATTTTCACATAATAGACATAAGCTTTGAGTTTATATAACTAATTAATATACATACAACGTCTGTTTACATTATGCTTCTCGGTATTTAATTAGATATTGATAAAGTTATGTTTGTTACCTGGTCGTTTAAATTGCTGTTATCTAATCAAAAAAATATTCGTGAATTATGTAGGTATTCTTAGTTTCAGCTATAGATACCTAAATGTATAACATGTGTCCGCATAATTATCATTTCTGCAATCCCTAATAATCTGAACAGCTGTATGCCTACATATACGTACTTATTTACTCATCTACTAGGTACTTAAAGCTACACCAACATTTCAAGACTATCAGATAACCACCACCTACCTACCGTAATAGCAGCTAGCATTCAAAATCTAAGATGATTGCTGTACAGATTGCTTGTGCAGAATAAGATTTAGTTCTAATCGCAAAACCTTCAGAACACCAATCAAACACAACGGGTAATGAACCCAAAATTCTAAGACGAGTAGTTCTGGGTATTCATTATTTTAGGAAATTAAGTCCTGCCTGCCTGCTCTAATACTAAAATGTCCATAAAAAGCTATTGGCGTGCATGCTGTTATTGGAAATAAATAAATCTACACTTTCGTTATTAAATACTAGCTTTTACCTGCGGCTTCGCTCGCGTCAGAAAAGGATAAAAAATAGCCTATGTGACATATACCAATACACACAGCGCCATCTATACCAATACTTTTGTTTTCCCTCGGGAATATCAATTTTTTGGGATATAAAATACCCTATTATTTAATCCGGACTTCTAACTTTACCATAGTATAAAGAACATATATGTTTATACTGTGACTTTACGTCTGCAAGAATTCAAAGCAATCGGATTAGTAGTTACGACGTGAAAGCGGAACAAACAAACAAACACACTTTCTGATTTATAATATTAGTAAGGATATCTTAGGTAAAAGCAAAATTAAAATATGTCACATACAAAAGTACATTTGCAAATGACATATTGATTATTAATGCTTTTACCAGCAAACAATTTTGCACTCTATTTCAAAGAAATACGACTCCTATTACCCGAAAAAAGGTAATTGAAGACTCCATCCAAATGACAGATTGACGAGTGTTAGTGAGTTTTAAGTACATACTTATGTAATGAATATAATGGATTCATTATTAAGTGCACATCTGGTTTTGAAAGTGTGTCATTGTCGTTTGTAAATATGCCTGGGAACTAAATATTCGTCCATTCTTATGATAATGCATGAGTGTGAATGTTTATCCATATTTTTTAAACGAATTTGGAAATAACGACTTTTAAGTCCAGCTAAAAATAAACTTTATCATGTTTTGGTAATTATTATTTCTGCTTGTCCTTTTAATTTATGCTGTTACGCACTTGGGTACGCATTTACTCAATGAAATAGAGTTAGGAACGATCCACATGTATATTTTATTAACGTAAACATAGATACAAATATTATTTAACTTACGACACACGCTGTATACGAGGTTAATAGTTAAACAGATTAATGTGTAACCATATAATTATGAAATTATTAATAGCTATCTGTCTGTGGTTTCCTGCGTGGAATTTAGAAAATTTTCCTCCACCTACCGAACTCGCGATCCTATTGTCTGCCTTTGTTTCGGTACTCCCACAACTGGGGACTAATTTGGTCCCAATAGTTACGGACTATATTTATTATAAAGGGGGCAAAATATTTTTTTAGGGCAATAATTGTACGAAATGGAAAAAAATAATTATATTAGACCTGGGGAATTTTGTTGTCAGAGAACAAAAATTATTTTTGACAACCCAGAAGTAAGTAGGTACTTATAAGTTTCCTCTAGATAACATTTTCAAAACAGCTTTTAATTACGTTAACGTTAATGTTTGACAGTTAATAATAACATATCGCTTTATTAATACATATAATATCGTTTCACTCTTCATTATTTTTAGCCGAATATACAACTCATATTCTGTTAAACATAGGTACTTATTAAGTGTATTATTATGTACCGATAAACCTTATTTAATATTAGTGCTTTGTATGTTTCGCCGAGAGTTTTGTGTATCGAAATATCGTTACAAAAGAATAGGTAATTCCTAAATTCATTATTAGTAGGTAGGTTATTGTTTCCGCCCTTAATTACGCCCATCCTCTGGATACCCCCAATTAGTCCAAAAAGGAAAACCCTCTGAATCATCTTTACGGTGAATTGAATCAAAATACAGGGAAATGATAACAGATTATTAGAATAGCACATCATACTTTTGCTTCTTATTATTTGTTCGCTTAGAAAAACATCGTAACACCATCCCACGTATACACCATACCAAAATCTTTGACAAAACTAAATCCTCCCAACCCATTATCTTTCTCAAAATCTTGCAAGCAATATTTAATGTAACCGATAAGCAAAAATCACGCGAATGTAGTCCTTATTTCAATGGGAAGTTAGTGATTAAGTCAAACGTCCCAGATCACGGGTATAATGTTTCGTTCATTCGTTTTATCAAAGTTATCAACCTTTTAACGAAAACATTACTTCTGTTAGTTGTAACGTTACATCCACCTTTTCTTATCTCTAAACGAAACTCGATTGCGTTGATATTTTTATAATCTTGTGACTTGATTTGATATCTTTGCCTACACAAGTGTTATTTGTCTCATCCACTGCAACGTGGTGACTTTGAAGTACTGGCACACGTGCTCCACTGATCGATTCACGTTGATATTTATTTACATAGTTAACGTTACACGTGATTATAGTTATTTCCTTTCTAAAGTTTGTACTAAACTTTAGTACTTTTGTTTGTATGAAGACTACAAAGTTGTTAATCAACAACCTTTATGACGTCTACACGAAAATCCACTGGTTATTTAATATAGCAGCTTCTCTCACTGTATATATAAACTAAACTTTCTACTTATTTTAAGTACAGTTATTTATACAACTCTAGCTAACGTCAGAAGGTATCTATTTAACCAGGCTAAGTAGGTGTAAGTTGATAAGTACTTGTCATACATAGACCTGTGACTAAGCGTGGGCCTGTGTAGCTAACTTATGAATGGAACGTCTTCGTAGTAGTTATACCTTTAAATAAACTTTATCCTTATTGTGGAAATTAAAGAGAAACACTATTAGCACTACTATACTTATCAATGCCAATTGTCCAGCACTGCTGTTCATTGTTGTTATTGTACGGATTTTATTATTGAATTTGTGGAAACGACAGCTATGGGCATTGTTACCGATACGGTTGACAGTTGATGTATCATAGCGTGTACTGTTACCGTTACCTGGGACCTGCCATCAACATTTATACTTATTCATGATACTTACAACCCGTTCACTCTTACTAGTGATTGGAGATGTAATATTCACATTAGCGATAATGTAACATTACACCGCACGCAACGCGCGGTTACGAGGAACTGCGCATCAATGAACTCCATACGTTGTGTTGTGTTTACATCCCTTTTGAGATAGAGACGGAAGATGAGACGCTATGACATACCAAATGTAAGATTTATAGTCTGTAGTTCATAGTGACCATCCTAACACAGCATGTTATGGTTTCCAGAAGTCGTCTGTGCGTGCGTCGTTGCGGAGAGCGCGCGCGGGCGCGGCTCTGTCCCCGCCGCGCGCCGGCATGGAGCGACTGCGACGCTCGTTCCGGGAGTCTTTCCGGAGACGCAAGGGTTCGCCTCCAGAGTCAGCACGGCCTCATCAATGGCACGCAGACGAGGCCGCTGTGCGAGCAGGCACATGCACCTTCCCCGTCAAGTACCTCGGCTGCGTCGAGGTGTTCGAGTCCCGCGGAATGCAAGTCTGCGAAGAAGCGCTTAAGGTGCTTAGGGTGAGTTTTAACCTTTTTATCGCTGGGCCTCGCGTATCCGAACCATACCCTGAGCGCCAGCTAAAAGAGACCTAATTTAACAGTCGACCTTATGGGTGGATGAATATTTTATTTTAATGTCGGTGGTGGGCGCTGTCGGCTATTGTCGACTGGCGGTGAAAAGGTTAAATAGCATTCGTAACTTAGGAAAATGTAGAATGTGATCAGTGAAGTTTGAATGCATGCGTTACTTAGTGAACTAACTTTAGTATTTTATGCGCATATTAATGTGTGAAACATAATGTTGCGTATAATTCTTACATACTCACAAAATCTATATCGCAGAGACGGATTTAGCAATGTAGATATACTAATACATATCCCGACCTTGTACAGACAACTGTGAAGTCGGTGTGTGACGAGAACGAATCAATGCGGTGCTAAATGTTCTCGCACCTCCCTCTGTTCTAGTGTAGAGGTTGTTTGATGCATCTTGGCATGTTTAGGTATCACACAGTGCGGTGATTGCATCGCTGTTTTCAATCTATAGCTATAAGATCACAGATCAAAGATCACACAGTAACATTGAACTTTGTCAATACATGCTATTAAGTAACAAATACTCGTCTTATATAGGAAACTGCCAACTCCATTAACAGTTTTTGCGCGTTTAAATAAAATGACTAGCATCTTTACAGTTGAGATTTTGAAACTGTGCTAACAAAAGCTTAACTAAAATAACCCACTTTCATAATAATAGGTTCACAACACTAACCTGAATTACAAATTACAATCCAGTTTATAAACATCTTTTGTTATGAAAATGTTTTTGTTGATGAATTCAAATGATTGACGTAATGGAGGTGACTGGAGTGTCTAATAAGTAGATGTAGGTGTAGCTAATTATAGCCTCTGCCGGGTTGGTTTAGTGGTCGTAAGAAATACAACACAACATGATGTCTGGTACAGAGGGCTCGGATCCCGGATGCAACAAAAAGTTATCTCAAATTTTTTACAAACAGCATAGAATGAAATGCTCTACGGTGTGACAATAGGCTCAATAACAATGGCAGATGAATCACGACATTTGGGTGCACTGTCAGTACTGACAGTAAAACCGTAAAAACATAGTTCTACCTAATTATGGTAAAGCCGTACTTTTTCCTTCGGTGAATTACGCACGTCATATTTAGCATCTATTTTCAAGTGTCGGTTATTCGCAATTCTTGGTACTTGTGTGTCACTGTCACCGGCATCAGAAAATTGCTAACATTTTTATTATAAACACGTACGACCCAGATATTTTTAGCCGTCCTACATGTTCGCTGACACACGTATTTTCATATTTAATATTAATAACATCATACCGGTAAGTAGTAGACTACAGACCTTTTTAAATGATAGGTCTCTACTCCTACTCGTTTTTAAATCAAGGAGTAAGTACATCGCAGTAGAAGAGACGAACTGATAGGTTAGCATCGGACATATACGATCCGCATGTAAGTCGTGGTGACCCGGAGGTTTAAGACGCCCGCTTCTCATGCATGAGGGTGCGGGTTTGAAACCTACCAACGGCAAGTACCAATGTGCCTATTTGCGAGTTATATGTACTGTCTAAGATTATTCAGACACCACTGACAAACGGTGAAGGAAAACATCGTGAGGAAACCTAGGCTTATAAATTTTTAATTATAAGTTTGAAATCACCAACCCGCATTGAGCACGCTTGGTGATTAATGCTCAAACGTTCTTCGTGTGAGAAGAGGCTTTGGTCAGCAGAGGGCATTTATAGGCTATTGATGATACGATCCGCATTGTGCGTAAATCACTTACAGCGTAAATCACTTTTTGACAGAAACACGAAAGAAAAATATACTTTTAAAATTTAATATTAAAAAATTTAAACAAAACTGCACAAAATGACCAAGATATCTACGAAACACTCACTCGTATCACACTGCAATGACCCCGACATCATGATTCATATCGCTACAAGGTAAATTAGCGTTACGACACATTCTACCTATACACAGATAGATGCAATAGTTATGAGAATTCCAAATGAACTTTAATAAAATAACCTAATTAACACTATCAATTAACACATTCCATAGCAAAAATGGCATGTTTGCTTCTATTCCTAACCTAATAACTCTGACTACAAAATTCAATGACTTGGTGTTGAAGACCTAAAATTAGTTTATTTCAGTGAAGAAGTGTTCGTCAGAATGAACGGTCACTAGGCGTATTTAACGTTTTTCTTCTATGATTGCTTGGACGATACCGTGGCTGGGTCACCTCCTGCGGAATGATATGTTATGAGTTCCAGCCATGGCATATCGCTTATCAACCAATAATAAATGGTTGACTGTAAGAGAATGCCTTAAGGCATTAAGTTCGCTATTCACAGATTTTTTTGTGTGAAGAAGAAACAAAATTAATTAATTGCTCTTATTATTATAAAAATATTGCATCGATATTTTTTTTTGTTACACGTTGCTGTTGGATATGGTTTATGAGGAAAACAATGTAATAATAAAAGCTACTTAAATTGAATACCAAGTTATTGGATTTTGTAGTTTAAGCAGTGTTGCAAGTTCCTATTCTCTATTGACATGGTAACGTTACAGAATTCCCGTCGTCGTCCAGTGCGCGCCGTGCTGCACGTCAGCGGTGATGGACTGCGCGTCGTTGAGGAGGAGACCAAGGGGCTCATTGTAGATCAGACTATTGAGAAGGTGTCATTCTGCGCGCCTGATAGGAACCATGAGAGGGGATTCAGGTATTTATGACAACTTTTATTTGTTTGTTAAATGGCAAAAGCTGAATTCAAGTTTTGTGTATAAGACTAGGACTTCTCGAATTTCTATTTTTCTGGTGATAATTATTGGCTGTATAAACCATTTCTTAAATAATAGTTACTTAGCACTTAAACTAACCCCTTACTTGTACTATTAGGTGTCATTTATTAGTTGGTGAAAACCAAAGTGTCGTAAAATATCATCTATTTTAGCTTAGGGTTTCCCCAGAGGTAGAGTTTGATGAAAATGACCATGAATCTCAAATAAGTCAAGTAAGTAGAATAAATCCTAAGAAGCCTTAACTAGTGTAATAGATATGAAAGTCCAATGAAGACTACATAAGAAATAAAATAAGCATGTGTCTTATAATATTTTGAGTTCATCAATTGTAAGTAATTAACAAACAGAAACATTGAGTTTACAATTCATCAATGAACTTGAACATCTGTTTACAATAATATTAGGTAATCAGTATAGTATGCGTATGTATATAAAGACAATAGTCCAGTACTTCTATTGTCTTGTAGTTGTATTCAAAATAAGACAATATTTTAGTTCATACATTAGTTCCACGTGTGTAAGTATGCTAAAACTCGTATGTAATTCGACTTAAAGTCACGGTGTCCTACTACAATACGTGAACATCTGCCAATAGCAGCCACGCCTTTATTTTTATTGTTTTCTTATCATCCAGCCTTGTGTTTAACCTTCTAACTACATATTGGCAAAGACTTCCATTGCTTTGCTTTATTGTCTTTTAGATTTTGTAATCTATCGTAAGTTTTGTTTAAAGTCAAAGACTCTTTTTGATAATCTAAATTACATGAACACTTTATTGATTTTTATACAATTGCTTATGAAGAACTATTCTTTACTAAAACAGCAGAAGTCGATGAGATCTTCAGATTTCTGTTCGGGGATAAAGCTGTGTACCAAAAGCTCGTTATTGAAAAGTTGTAAAACTGTAGGTAGCTCAAATGCCTATTTCAACGTAATTAATCGTTTACAGTTACATATGCCGCGACGGTACGACTCGTCGTTGGATGTGCCACGGTTTCCTAGCGTCCCGCGACAGTGGCGAGCGTCTGTCCCACGCGGTCGGCTGCGCATTCGCGGCGTGTTTGGAACGCAAACAGCGCAGAGATAAGGAGTGCGCCGTGTCTATGAGCATCGACGCTGCGAGCCATGCGTTTACCAGGCAGGGCTCTTTCAGGAAATCTGGTTAGTAATTAATTTAAAGTTCTTTTGTTTTTTAGAAACTAATCGTATCCATTTTTCAATCGGAAAGGTATTATCAATATTTATAAATAATTTTACATCTGCGTGTAATATTAATTACATTAATTTATCTCTTTCCAGGCATAACTCCACGTCGTGCGTCGGAAGCAGACGCTAATAACAGCAATGGGTCGGTGATAATACCTGTGGGGTCCCTGGGCGGGGTGACGAACGTCCCCGCGGCGGTGCCGGTAGTGCAGCCGGCGGCCCCGCGACCGACCCCGCACAATCCCTTCGCAGTGGAGCGACCCCACGCCGCGCCACATCTACTCGAGCGACAGGGGTCCTTCCGTGGATTCGCGCATCTTAACAACAGGTTTGTTTGATATTTTCCCCCATAACCACAGATTGAGCTATTGTCCCACTATTGTAATGTTTTTAGAAAAAGAACGGAGCAAGGTCCTCGTCATTGTTTGAAACTTCGTTGTTTTTGTTTATCTGGTTTTACTAATAAAAATACATTTTTTCAGCTCTCCATTCAAGCGTCAGATGTCCCTGCGTATCAGTGAGCTCCCCTCTAACTTGGAGCGTCAGCGCGCCGGGCTAGGTTCTCCCACGCGAGCCGTCGCAGCCGTGCCTGTCGCTGTGGCTGAACCAAGGCCTGAAGCGGTACCCGCACAGGTATAATATTCAGTTTATAGTCTTTAATATCGAAGATATGAATACAAGTCAATGTCTTAACAATAATGGGATACGTTATTAGATTAATCAATAAATCTTTTGATGGTATTGTTTCAGGCGGAACTATCGTCCGCGGACCCAGTAGCAGCGATGTGCCAGCAGTTGTCGGCGGGGCTGCGTGCGCTGGCGGAGGAGCCGGTGGCGGTGGCGGCCGCCGAGCCCGTGGCCGCCGCCGGCACTCTGCCGCACCCCGACGCCTGGCTCGGCCGCGTGGCGCAGGCCCCGCCGCTCACACAGGCCCCGCCGCTCACACAGGCCCCGCCAGTGGCGCGGGCCCCGCAGCCAGTACGAGCCCCGCCGCTGGGACAGACAGGCCGCGCCGCGTCGTACGCAGGTCGCGCGGCGTCCACGAACCCATTCCTATCCCCCGGGGACGTGGCCCCGGCCCTGTAGGGCGCGGCTCGCGCTGCACCGGACCAGCTCTTGCTGGTGTTCGACTAAAGCCCGGGACTGGCGCCCCCCATTCTTCACGACACAATATAGTAGCTCAGCAAATATTCTGCTTCCGTCGTGAGTGGGTTAGGGCTCAACGAATTCCAGTCCACGTCAGAAGTCGTGCAGCGCGTTATTATAAATCCTATTCGTAACCTCGCCTCGGCTGGTTACTGTCACTTGTACCACTTGTCTGTCTATGTAGAAATTATTATGAATGTACTTGATAGAGGGCAAAACAAAGCGTTATCTTGCGATATCTCGCTGGAACCATGTACTTATTGCACTAATCGATCGATGTCGTCTTACTTAAAAAGTAAAAAAACAATGAGTACTTATACTTGTTTCGTAGTAAAAGAGTAGGTTTAGCAAACTACTCGTGTTATTTTTGTAATAATATTTATAAAACGATAACTTAAAATGAGATGGAATATTTCCTCTAATACGATTCAAGCAAATGTTCCTTTTAGTAAATTGAATACACACATCGTACCAGTATACGTCGATGTTGTTATTTACTAAGTATTGCTATTGTAGCTATTGACAAACATCAAATTAAACGAGTTAGGCGTTGAACTATTACGACTGGGCCTCGATGCACTGTATAGCATGAACGCCAGGGCGCCGAACGTATCATGCTCTTATTTCTAAATATCATAAATGTGATGTAATGCTTACCCATAGTCTTGCTAATGTGTTATAGAGAATTTTTCATAATAATCAAACAGTGACTCATATTGCAGTTAGAGAAGCATTGTTAAAATTATATCTTTCAGTGTTGGTTGCGGTTCAAAGACCGTAATGTATGTTAGTCATAATCCTAATTTATACGTAACTGAAGTTGTATGCTTGTGTTGCCAAATTGACTAGTACTGGTATACAGTGCTTGTACGTTGTAACGGGGTTGCATTGATATGACACAAACAATATGAATCAGTTTGACAAAGATCTCGGGACGATTGTTATTTTGTATCAATATAACCGGTGCGAGAAATTGACGGATTTTGAGAAATAAATGAAAATTACATTTGTGTGATGACTAGCTTAATTTATAATATTGTACTTAACTCTATAGTGAATCGCACCGTGCTTTCGCGCCACACGCTACTGTTGTGTATGTTAAAGTGTTCGTCTTTTAATACGTAAGTTTATATTAATTCCATAAAATTCGTCCATACAGTATTAGTCGGGCCGAGCGGATTATCTAAACACTGTACAACACAAACAAACGAACAATGCAGTATTTTAATATTAAATCATTTTTATGTAAAATAGGATTTTTGATATATTTTTCCTTTTTTGTATATACTTGTAAAGTTGTAAGCTATTTATCTCTTCATCATTCGTGGATCTGTTTTTTATACTTTTTTATTACATTTTTTTCTACGCTGCTATAAATAGTAGGTGTTTGGAACGAACAAATGGTAATTGTCATTTTCATGTTAGTCATTTTAAAATTTGCGTACTTACTTTACACAATCTTAATATAATAATTTAGTTACTAATTTACGTTATGATGTTATAGTTTTCTGTTATGTTGAGCCAGCTATCTTAAGTATAGATTACATGGTTAAATCAATGTATGTTGCTGTAAATAGTTTTGTCGCATCTTATATCGTCTTCTCTGTTTTGTATTCGTTTTGATTGAAGTCCAAAAAGGAGACAGTATTTGGTTACTTATAAGATATTTTTTAGCGAATTTAACACAGAACTTTCTAACCGCACACATCTATGCCGTGTCTTCAATAAAATGTTTTCATATACGCTTAGTACGGGGCCTTCAGAAATTGTAATCATAGTGTTACGCTCAGTTACGGCCCCGACACGACACGGCCAAGTGGAAAGACCTTAATAGCAATTCAAATTAGTTGCATATCTACATTCCAGTATACTTTGAAAATAACACATTGTAATTGATAGATTGAATAGATATAATGCATATCACATAGCCTTGCATAAATTATACGCACTTATGTACTTACGAATTGTAAAACTTTAATAAATAGTACTTAAACTTATTGAAAAACTTCTAGATATTATCATTGTAACCGAAAATTAATGTTGTTATAATGTAATGCAGCTTTAAAGGCACCTATATTTGGATACATTTAAGCGTATATTCTGATTGTCCTATTTAACTGCGGAAATCAATCTTCATATAATGAATATTTGCAGTATGTTTCTGAATATTTTGTGGTTCTCTTTCCGAACTAAATTTATTGTAGCGATGTACAGAATGAAATTAAAGGAAAATATTTATGATACTGTAAATGTATTGACATTTGACTACGTCTAAGTGCACATTATATCTTGATTAGCACCAATAAGCGTATTTTAAAGTTATCGCTGTTATACAAAGTACATTAGATTCGTAGTTATAAATGAGTAGGTCATTCCGGAATATATTTTCGTGTGCTTATATTGAACTATTGGAACCGTTGTACTTAAATATATGAAAAATCACGTTGTTATTGACCTTTTGTTGGGTGTTATTTGTATATTATACAGTGATTTTATCTTTGTCTAAAGCATGTAAATATTGGCGTATATATGTAGATATATTAGATAATGAGAGTTCAAATATTATAAAAAATAATAAATTATGTTTAGTTGAAACATTTCTTTTATTTAATCAACAATTTGTATAACCCATTTGTGTGGAATGCGTTAGTGACAAATATTGGATACTAGGAAATGGTCAAAATGTACATTTTTTATGGCATAAGCCGGTAAACAAGCAGACGGATCACCTGATGGTAAGCAATTGGCGTCGCCCATGGACACCTGGAACACCAGAGGCGTTGCAAGTGCGTTACCGGCCTTTCGGGGATTAGGAGTTTGAGGATTGTTGGGGATTCAGGGATTGGGGAGATTGGGGAAGGGGAGCCGGTTGAAACGGCCCATTCGTGCCGAAGCATGGCTCTCTACTCTTTACTTGAACATGTAAAAATCATAAAATTAAACAGAGTCTAACAAAAAAATATTATCTATAGTAATTTGGGTCTCACATTACAGCCCCAATGTCCGTAATAAAGGTCTAATTCACCCAAGGTAAACGTCTAGGGGGGTTCGAAAATTTACTTATTTTTTGGCTAAAACCTCTAGTCTTTGAGATATTTTGGATTTTACTATACACACAGGAGTATACATACATTATTGATTTCTCTCTTGGACAGGGGGTATAATTGTGGGCTAGCAGGGTGTATTTGCACTGCTGTCAGTGACAAGGACGAGGAATAGTAAGAGAGTGTATGGAGGACGAGTGTTGATAAAAAACACAAGTTGGTTTGCTGCACCACTTTATTCATTTACGGGTACATGAATACATTAGTCAACGGCATAAACTTCAGTGCCTACGTACTACCTAAACAACGTATTATATTGTCTGTAAATTATTTCTCTATACACGACAGGTCAGGTGACTAAGAACATCCACTTACTCCTAATTGTTATAGTAACCTTGCTACAGACACTAAACGACCCAATAAGTTACGTAACTTACATAGTACAAAGCAAGATTATAGTATTTCAAACTTCATAATAACCATTTCATTTATTCAAGATAAACTTTACTAATTTCATTTTTGAGTTTATAAAATATAGAAAATTGCGAATGCATATTTATACAATATTTACTTCGGCAAGATCTGTGAAGATGTATTATATTTTATAATCTATTGAACAGATACAATTCTTTAAATATTAAACATTTTATTTTATGGACATACATTTATATTAATTCTTGTTGCCAAGCAGGAAAGGTATAAAGGTCTGACTGTGAACTATGCATACATGCTTCCGATTATATCTTCAAATGAGCGACAGAACTAACGCGTACTATTTAGATTTTAACATACATTTATCTTTATTAGCAAAAATAATTTCGGTATCGAAATACGTTATCAGTGGAAGGAATTTATACAATTTCCGTCAGCATAAGTTATTATATGATATCCCGAGTAGTAAACACATATGCATAGATAACACATTTACTTAGTGAAGACAGTTCCATAGTACCCTGTTTTATGTAAACAGTGAAAATATGAAAGCACTACTTATTTCTGCGGTCCATAGATACATTGGAATTTGGTTAACTGTAGTATGATTAGTTAGAATACACTTATAGAAAGCTCCAGCATAATAGACAGTTATTATGATCGTGTTTGTAATACATTCTGTTGTAGGACTGCATCACGCAGCCTTGTACGTATGCGACTAGGAATGTTGCATATAAATGCGTAAGCCGGGAGCTCAAGCGGCACAAACTCAATAATACATGGATATATCTTGCACTACAATCTATGCGAGGAGCAATACATATAACACTCACAGATAAATGAAATATAGGTACAAAAATATGACTAGCACTAATTTATATTCACATGAAATTCCATCGCAACTCTGGATATGGAATGAATTTATACATTTAATGATGCAGCTAATTGATATATCAAACTAAATATCATATCACAATTTCAAAAGTAATATCCTTCTAATTTGACTTTCAACATTTAAACAAATAATTCAATAATTTATAAAATACTTTAAGATATACAAACTAATAACTTCGAGATTACTGAGATCTATCTTAAATAAATAAATTATTAAAAACAATAGTTGTACAATTACCTAATCGTATTAATACTGTGTTTTTATGAAAGAAAAAGCAGCACCAAAATAATATATTTAATAAATAAGCTGATAATATATTTAATAAAATATAAATTAAAAATAAAAGTGGTCTATAAAACAGCACATATAAAGTTTCATAGAAAATAACTTTGGCTATAAATATAACGAAGATGCAATAATTAGCACTTTTAGGAAAATACTACTTGGATGTAGGTACACAAAGTTAGTCTAAAACATTAATATACTTAATAACGCAAATTGGCGATTGCGCTGATGAAACGATATACATTTTTTGTTTCGAATTACATTTGTCTCCAGTAGCGTGGAAACACACTAATTCATGATTATTATGATTTAATATGATGATATAACAGCGATTACTTTTATCGGGAGGATTCGTAACATTATCCTATACAGATATATTTTAACTCCTCATAATACGAATAGGCACACCGCAACGTCTACTACGTCGAACATATTTTTATATTCATTATACACACATAGATTATTGTTTGGTACAGTACAGTCAATAACATTTATAGAGCTGTTATAAAAGCGGATAGTTATTGTTAAAATATAAGCGTTATTTATTTTTCTGTTATTAACTGTACTTACAGGGTTCCCGATACGGTAATGCTACAAACGCGTGACTTGAGTTTACTTATACCTTGAGTCTAGTAACAATTTAAAACATTACAAGATTATATCCATCGACAACTTCGGATGTTGCTGTTAAATGAGAAAATCACATGCAAGTTTTTTTTTGTCATATTGGTTTTCCATCTGAAAGACGACAGATTACTTTATATCTTATATATCTTTTAATTTTGTTACCAGGATTCAGGTGATAAGTAAACAACGGAGACAACAGGGTGGAGTGACATCACCATAGAAGATATAGTTGCATATTGACGTATAGGACATATTATAATGTTGGTAGTTACAATACCTAGCGCGCGGTGATATTGTCGTGACACCGCTGACAGACGCGGACGGGGCGCAGCGCCCGCAGGCGGCGCACGGGCGCCTCGTACCGCGAGCACCGCCCGCAGAACACCGCGCCGCACTCGCGGCAGTGGTGGCGCCGCTCTAACGCTGTGAAGCGGACCTGCAACAATATCGTAAATTGTTTACAGTTTTACACCAAATACTTCCTTGTAAAAGTGCTTGTTTATAAGTTAGTTCTACGCAGTTTAGCATCTGTTACTGTTACCAAGTTTATATACATCAAAATGAACCGCAGTTTTACTTTGACAGATGATAAAAAGTAGCTAATGTACGTACCTAAGATCTATTCAAATCTCTATTTTTATAAAATCGTTTTAGGCGTAAAGGTGGTGGTATTTTATTAGGGCTTTAAAAGAACAGGGTGTAAGTTAATGTACGTGAGTAAGAAACATACCTGGCATTGTGTACAGTAGGGCGCGGTATCGTCTCGGATCCAGTGGTCGGCGGGACCGCCCTTGGCTCCCGCCGCGCTCGACATATCAGGAGCAGACCAACGGAAAATCTGTCAACAAATTACGACATGCTTATGAAATATGTCCATAAATATGTATCAAGTAGAGATGGTGTCAAAGGATGAAAAATATAAACATCTTGAAGAGATTTGAATTGAACCTTTCAGGCTAATGCTGAAAGGTTCAATTTAATACAGAAAAACACCGAAAAATCTTAAGAAATCAAGTTTCTCTACTAACGTGAAATATCAGGACCTCGTTTTAATCGTTGTTGTTTCACGTAATATTTTTTATTCCATTAGAAATCAATTCATGAAATAAGAATGCCAAAATACGAAGGTATAAATAAAACAAATTACCCGTCCCCTAGCGTCTCCGACAGCGAGCCCCCGTCCACTGCGCGCGGCGGCTACAGCAGTGACGGAGGCGGGGCAGGCGTTGTCGCGGCGCTCGTACGCTGTGTGCATTGTTAACTTGCCGCGGAGGACTAGGCGGCGGATCCATTTCATGCCCGATTCTGTGGGAGTTATTTGAACTTTAAATACTCGTATTTATGGTAGGATCATGTTTGAATGACATTGTTGGCGTAGAGGTTGTAGTTAAAGTGCTAAAAGTATAGGCAAAAGTACATTTGATTAAAAAACCGATGCTAAGCAGCACTCGAGTTGTGTTTCACCGTGTGAGTGGGGTTGCCACACCGGATGTCCACCTCGTGCCGTAAAAGTGTCTTGTCTGTTACGAGTTATGACATAATTTACATTAATTATAGATTATCAATTCAGCTTTTTCAACAATCAATAACCAACAATCACAAATTAATATAGACATAGCCTTACCTATATCGACAGTAGCGGGCTGTATCTTAGCAGCCTGTTTCTGTGTAATGGCGGGTGAAGCGGGCGAGGCCGGCGCCGACACCACCACGAAGGAATCCGTCAGACTCGTGTCTGACTTACTGGCGCGGAGACCGCCACTCTCGGGGGCCTCGGTAGTGACAGTTGTGCCTCCTACTTCTATGGAACATGACTCGTTCGAGTCACCGATACTACCGCCACCTGGTGTTAGAGGTTTAGAATTAGTGTAGGTCTATAGTCATTGGGTAAAAGAATAGAAAAGAACCAGTAAGTGTGACTGTTGATAGAATATTGTCTTGTAAACTTACTGTAAAATACAAAGCCGAACTGTAGGTAACAGTCGATTTAAACACAAAACAATAAATAATATAAAACTAGTACATACTGTACATAAATATTGTAACAAACCTGTATGTTTTTCGTTACAACAATAATCAAATATTACGTCGTGGGAAGGAGCTTGCAGACAAGAACGGAGCGTCCCACTAAGAAAATAGAATAGTTTACCAAACCACTTACTTTTACGATACAACGGATTTCCCTTAGACTTCCTTCTAAGCATGACATGTCCTTGTTTCTGCAGCTTATTTCGATGGACATCTTTCTCAGCATCCAAATCTTTTTCGTTATTAAACTCCTGTTCCTGTTTGGCTTCATCACAGGAGTCGACTGGTTCCTCCTTAGGTTCCACGTATTGTTGTGGATCCTCATTGTCACTGCAGATGTCTTTCTCGTCGTGTCTCCGAGCGGACTCCTTGGCGCTGGTCGTCTCACACGCGTCTGATAGTGAACTTTCTGAACCTGACTTGATTAGGGTACCTGGTAAAAAGGTTTGTGATGTGTTAGTACTTGCTCGGGTTTAAACTGTCAAACACCAAGCGGTCACCGGTGACCGCGACCTATTGTTCTTTAATTGTGTCTATAAAACCGGTACTCGACGAGTTAATGTACGTGGTTTTTTACAGTTCAATCCTCACCGGTGACTCAAGCTGTCCACTAACTCCAATATAGACCTACCTTATTTCCGATGTGTAGAAACTACTTTTGTAAGAAAAAAAATTTTGGGGATTTTCGGTACGATATATCAACGTAATAATATACCGTTTACCGACTTTTAGCAAGTAATGATAATTATATCCTAAGATCATGATAAATCGAATACTCGCTCCTAGAATCACCGAGTAGGCGCTCTAATTGTGATTACGGAAATTTGTAATCATAACATAACATCACGCCTTTTATCCCCGAAGGGGTAGGCAGAGGTGCACACAGAAGTACCCACTTTTCAGTATTTATGTTATGAGTCCCATGTAATAGGGGGTGAGCCTATTGCCATATACCAGGCACATTTCCAGACTCCGTGCTACTACTGAGATTTTGTGAAAAAGCCCAGTAATACTTTGCCCGACCCGGGAATCGAACCCGAGACCCCTTACCCGGTAGTCGCACTTGCGACCACTCGGCAAACGATCATCACTACATAGTATAAAACAAAGTCACTATCCGCCGTCTGTCTGTCCCTATGTATTTTAGGTCTTTAAAACTACGCAACGGATTTTGTTGCGGTTTTTTTAAATAGATAGAGTGATTCTTAAGGAAGGTTTATATGTATAATATGTGCATATTGCACCCGTGCGAAGCCGGGGCGGATCGCTAGTAACAAATAATTGAAATCTGTTAATATTTTAGAGTAATTTAGAGGTGATAAGTAGATAATAAATTAAAATCGAACTTTTAATATTTTGTACAAAATATAACAGCTCTAAAACAAGGACTAGCACATAAATCCCAATGTTTAATAGAAACAAACCAAATCTCAACATCTTTAATTAATCCCATAGACACTATCTACAATACTATATAATACATACCTTCTTTCTCTTGCGACAGGCTCATTTGTTTGACCAACTCCTCCACTCGTTTGATGGCCGCCTCCCTATCCTGTGGCTGTAACTCTTCAGACTTGATTTCACTCTCTGATCTCTCAGATTTCACTTCGGATTCCGACTTAATTTCTTCACTGTCTTGTACTGATAGTTTCTGTTCGTCCTTGTCTGTTGGTATCTCCGTAGATGTTGACGCTGGGTCTACACTACCCCCTTCTATGCTCTCCGTTTGTTCCTCTGCCATTTCCGCTATGTAATCTATTGACCACATCTGTGGAAACAAGTTTTGAAATGTCAATTTTGTCATTATAATTTGTTGGTTATTCATTTAGCTTCATTTAAAAGTCGTCTTCATTTAGCAGATCGTCACCATGCGGTGATAGGTATTAAAAAGTACAAATGTTTTTGTATTTTTTTATGGATTTTTACGGTTATTCTGTTAACTCACTAGTAAACATATATACAAATGTAATAAAATTTTAAATGGTATCATCAACACGACTCCGATAGTACCAACATGTTTAGCTAGTAAATAAATAGTTAGAAATCATACTAACCCGAACTACACCGTCAGTAGACCCAGTGATGATGACATTGAGCGGGTCCCACTCCCTCGTCTGGCTGAATGCGACACACAGTACTTGCTGGGAGCGCTCCCGGCCGCCGATGGTGTCCACGGCGCCCAGGAGCGAGCCGTTGATGGACCACGCGTACAGCCAGCTACCGCTACACGTCGCTATGTCGCCCTATGATATAATATGACTTATAAACATGAATAATGTGATGTAGTTTATAAAATTTACAAAATGTAAAAAATATAGTGTGAAGTTATTTTTACATTTTTAATCCTCTAAAATGTTCAATAATAATAGCATCGGTCTGTAAAGTTAATAGGGATAACGAACATTGAGAGATGTAGTATAATATACTCCACTGTTGCAGAGTGGCATTCACATACTAAACTAAACACGAATTTCTAGACTTTCGATACTAAACTGCCTCCAATTTTAATATATTCTGAGTAGTATTTAAAATAACTATACTGAGTTAAAACCGAATTTAACAGAAAAATTAACGGCGAAACCAAAACACTTACAGTAAGATCATCAATAGCCAAGGCAGACACAGGCGGCGGTGGTCCGTAGCAGTGCGGCGGCAACAACTGTCGTATGAAGGACCCTCGCTCTACATCCCACACGATGGCCTGTCCGTCTCTACTGCCGCTCACCACCAGGTTATACGCCGGGCTAGCTGCCAGGCAGGTCACTGCTTCCTCGTGGCCGTACAGACATACCTTCACTGCTAGTCTACGACGACGGGCCCAGTATTGCCACACTGTTACCACCTGGAGGGAAGAGGTGAGGTTTAAAAATCATCGAATGATTTGATATTATAAGACATTTCACATTAATACAAGTTATTGATCCAGTATATCTATATAAAATAGTAGCAAATTATTGTATTGAAGCTTAAGACGAACGATAATACAATACAAAAACTATCAGTTCAGCATTTGACAAGGTGTATATCATCTAGTTTCAAGGTACGCTAGAGGCTCATAATTATGAGTAGCAAGTACCACACAGCGCGGTAAACGTTTGGTGTCATGCAAAACTTAATACGTTACTATATACTGAGGACTTGGAACGAGTTTGTTTTTAACCCGTTGAAAATCATCCCCTAAATTTGTTCATACAAAAGTAGTCTCTAAACATTGGAAATAATGTCTATAATGTAACTACATAACTAGTGGAGAGCTCTCCACTAACTAGTGGAGAGCGGTCACCGGTGACCGCTTGGGGATATATGGGTGTAATCGAAACGAGTACACGTTCGGCGCTCTGATTAGCCAACTCCAATGAACCAACCAATCAGAGCGCCGAACGCAGTCTCTGTTCGATGAGGACTTGGATGCCGTCTCCTCCTTCTGCAGTCATGCCAAGGAGGAGGCGGGGAGCGTGAGGCTGCGGCGCGTGAGGGAACGAACCACCTCACGCCCCAGCTAATCCGGGAGACACTCCGGGCGTAGGGGATCGCGTGACGATCTCTGGTCACCATAAGTGCGGATCTGCGGATGGCGAGCACGGGTAACTCGCCGCCCGACCAGAACCAGACCCGTGCGTACGGAACGTCGCGTTCCGCTGGTGCCTCAAAAAGCCATCAGACCACCACAGGTTGGGCCCAAAGGGCTGTTGCCCGATACGGAGCTGCGGAAGGCCTAATGGGTTGCCAGAGAGCAAGAGTAGGAACAGGGTGTTTAGGCAGTAAGAGTCTCGACACTCCTTCACACCTAACCTAAGGCGGGAGGAGAAGTAATTGGATGATTATCTCCCTCAAAAAAAAAAGTCTCTGTTCGATTACTTTAAACGTAAAACCATCTCGTAGTAAGGCCTCAGCCATTATAAATATACTGTTTTTCACATTACATAAATCTTAGTGAACTCACCGTACTAGTACCAGCAGTGACAATGGTTTTATCAGACGGACAGACACAGGTGACGATCTCTCCACAGGCCTGAGCCACCGTCTCACAAACAAATATAGCTTTGTCATTATCATAGTTGCCGATCCGTAGTGAATGGTCTGCGAAGCCCCACGCCACGTACTTATTGTAAGTGGGTGGCATTAGCACTTTGTTCTGCTCCACTGCTAATATTGCTTTTTCGGTGTACAGGATTTGTCCTACTGGGCCTTTTACCTCTGCAATAGAAAATATGATTTATATCACGAGTGATTTTAAAACGTATCCAGACAGTTGTCTCGTTAGTCAAAGTAGTTGCAAGCGGGATTTTTTAACGAGGAAGCAATTTTTAGTTTTGACCTACCCAAAAATTGCTTCCTCGTTTCGGATCCTTGATATGTATAAACAATTCTGAATACAATCTAAATCTGTGCAGTGCATAGCATTAACCTATTTTTATCACACTTTAAACGCCCATTTAATGAAGCCACTTCTCCTTGTTATACAGTTTGAACATACATACCTTTCACAGGTTGTAATGAAGGTCTCAAGTTTTCTAAATTGTGGAAAAATAGTTTCTCAGGTGGAGTGATGCCCTGAGAAGGTATTATATTGTTCGGATCGAGTATAGTGGAGCTGCGCTGTGACATCTTCTTGCTAGGGTGAGCTTTCTTGAACAGTTGTTTTGGAATCTGACCAAAATTGTTAATGAAGCCGATTGTAGCGTTCTTCTTTAGCGGGTCATCAATACTGAAAAATACAGTATAGTTAGAGAAAATTGGACAATAAACAAATGAACATAGTCAGATAATTTGCTAATGCATAGTCGGTAAACTTATGTAAACTGTTCCAATAGTTTTCATTGCTGTAGTCTAAGGCGGGATAAGCGAGATTAGTGCCCACTTTATTTGGTTTATTAAACATCTCATTTAAATGTTTTCTGAAATATGTTTTTTGAGTTGAACAATCAAGTCGAGTCTAGACTACTGGTCTACTTTTGCTTTGTAGATTTTTCAACCTAACTGCAGAAACAGTGCGAGTTTTATGTTTTGGCAAGTATTATGTAGTGTACTAACTTATAAATATCTACGTTTCCTTCATAGAAGAGGTGATGGAAGACGTTGCAGGCGTCGTGGGCGGGCTGGCCGGTCTGCTTGTACCCGAAGACGAGGTCGATCCAGTGGTGCAGGCGGTGCGACACGTAGTCGCACTCCAGCGCCGCGCGGTGCGCCCGGATGAACTCGCGAGCGTCGCCGCGCGCCCACGGCGGGAGAACTACGTCGCCAAGGGATACGCCTGATTGCTTGCAACCTGCGAGATGGGGTTCTTCATTTAGTTATTAAATTATTACGTTTAAAATCATTTAATTTCATTAAACGATTTTGTTCACTAACTGCCTGTAACTGACGAACCTACGTTCCGTCACCATAAGAATAAAAGGACCATAATAATATAACATTACAATATCTACTTACCTAAGTCGAAATTGTTAGAATTGACAAGAAATTCAGGTAAATAGAAGAACTCCGGTATTAATTCCTTGACATCAGCCATGTTATGTCGCGACGCAGAATTCCACGCCTCCTTTATTGAATGGAACATTCTGAAACAAGAAAATAAAACTAAATTTTCATTCAATAATGGAGCGATACCACGACCTCACAGGAAAATAAGCCAAGGTTGTTTCACGCTGTCTTATTATGTAAGTAAGGTTACCGAAGATTCCATACCCTCCTCCAAAGGCTAAAAAATGCATTTGTAAGTCCTCTGGTTTCGCGGGTGTCAAAGACGATGCTGATTGCTTATCATTGGACATTCTTTCGTTTGTCCCTATGGATTTTTCAAGATTATATTTAAGCTAAAATTACGAAAAAGAAGGACATTGTTTATTGTACATTACCTATCAGCCAAGTCGAAGTGTCCGCCCTGCAGTTTGAGGAAGTGTTGCGTGAAGGGTTCCATCCTGACTAGATACGAGCACACGATCATTGCAGACGAGTAGTGAGTGCCGTAGTGGTACGGAGGAGTTTCGCCGTGAGGATCGTCCCATTCCTACAAAAGTAAATTAGGGTAAGTACTAGAAACTCATGTTTCTAGATGATCTTTAAAAAAGTACGGAATCGTTATTATCATTGTGAAACGATAGTTATATCGTTGTGTTATGTCGAAACTAGTGCCAAACGTTTTGGTTTGAGACAGAGATAATTATATTGTGAATATGAAATGCTACAATTCTCTGTTCACCAGATGTGAATTGATCCAATGATTCCAACACATTTTCCACTTGTGACTATTCAGTGCAGCTATAAAGCTGTTTCATGGATTTAGAACTCACCTTATATCGCTTCCTAAATTGTTCCAACCTATCCGGACTTTGAGCTCCCATAGGCTTGGTAAGGTCGCGGAATGTAGCCGGGTCGTTGAGGTCGAGTTCTAACGAGTCATAGTCGGCGAGGATCCAGGGGAACACTGGATACTGCATGAGATCATTGTACGAACGACCCGCGAGAGTATTCAGGTGCATCAAGTACTGGAAGTTTGATATTTCACCTCTCTGGAAAGGAATAAGATGAGTCAGGGACTGATTTTCGTTAACGTTTGTTTTAGTCCGAAAATTATGATTTGCAATTATAACAGACTACTGTACCAGAATTATTCATTTATTAGGTTTACCAATAGTTATTTACTTAAGGGTAACTGATTATATCATTACAAATAATAATAATTACTTATTGCATTCATTTTCTCTATCATATCTTAATTTCTACCTCTAATATACAGATCCATTACGTCTACTTTTATTCACTATATATTATGTGACATGTCGTGAACAATGAATATACATACCAGCCAGCGTTGAGTGACGGAGGTGTCCCCAATGAGCGTGGCCAGTAGTCCGCCGGGTTGTTCCACTGCGACGCCACGCTTCTGTCCGGCCACGGAGCCCGCCGCACTGTCCGCCATACCTGTCGCTAGCGCTGTGAATCGGCTGTATACCTATGAATAAGAACACTTTAAATTGATAGTTCTAGACATAAAAGAAAATGTATCGAACATCATTCATGCCATGACTGTTTAACAATTATTTTCAATAACCGTAAATCGTTAGCTATGGCTGCTATGGATAGGATTTTAATATATTTTGTGTATACTAAGCATGTCTCAAATAAGTACCTGTGAGTTTAACTCCATAGTTCTAAATGACCATACTACTTAAGCTATGAGAACGATTGTAAGATATCAAGATATTTTTTATATACCTCCTCATTGTTGTATGTAATATATTACTTAAGATATTGGAAATATCAGAGATATTGCGACTTACTTTGTTTCGAACTTTTCTTGGAAAAGCGAGCAAGTAATTTCTGCCGTCACTTGAAAATACTTCTAACGCAATCGGTTGTAGTAAATATCGTCTTTTGTGAACTTCCCTGTAACAATATAAAGCAACATTGTTATACACTATAATCAATTTCACTTAATATTGAATGCGCAAACTATTGTCAAATTTAATCTTGTTTGCGCAAAACGGCGCCACATACATTGCGCAAAGAGTAACAAGTACTTACCGAATATCTTCATACAAGAACTTGGAACACTGTCTTTGGTTACTCCTTTGTATACCTTGCGCAGGGAGTATTGGTTCGTAGTCGTCTGGGCAGCTGTCCAAGTCACGTATTTCTCTGTTCTTCAGTAACGTAAACCCGTCTATGACGTAGCAGTGCTCTCGACCGAATAGTAATAGACCTTCTGTTGTGTCTAAACCTTGTATCCGTGCACAGCGGAACATGTGAGAGATCTGAAAGAAAATATTATAATTAATAGCTTCTATCAGTGACTTCGTCCATTTTATTAGGATAAAAAGAAGCCTGTGTTATTTCTGACTATAAGATTATAGTCAAATTTCATTTGGATCTATTCAACAGTTTTTGAGTGGGTTGATGTTAAACTTACGCTACCTTATTATTAGTAGGATATTGAAGTCTTGTATAACCTTAAGATTCTTTCGTTTCTAGATTACCAACATAATGGACTAAGAGCCAGCGGCCCGCAGACCTTCGGTAAAGTATAAAACCTGTAAGTTTCTCAAAGTATGTCCCCAACACAGGTAAGAATGAATCCCGTCTATGTAACTTGGGTCGCGGTGGCTTTCGCAGGTATCAGGTAATAAAGGTGTGTAAAATTGTGTGTTAAATTTGGTAAAATATAAAACTCAGTTTTTACATATTTGACTTATAATAATCCCAAAAGTCATCTTGCCGAAAGCCAGACACTTCGTACAGTTCCAACCCTCTGCCAGACACCCTTAAAGTATATTTAATTGTTACTATACTTACGGTATAGTATAAAATCTGCAATTTATATATGTTATTTGGATAACTATAAAATAATGTTTCTTCAATAGCCAGACAGTTTCTGTGTCAAAGTCAAAGTCAAAAATCATTTATTTCAATTAGACCAGGAAGGCACTTTTGAACGTCAGCAATAGAAATTTAAAAATGAAGCTATTTGCTCATTCCAAGGTGTAGATTCCTATGGAGAAGAACGAGCAAGAAACTCCATAGGTTACTCTTTTCCAATCAGTTTCACAATACAATTCTTCAGTTACACAGTTTTATTGGTTTGATTGTGCGAGAACAACGTAACACCAAATCTAGCCAAAGAGATCGAAAAAGAAAATAACCCTTAAAGACAATAAAACAGTCTGGAGCTGACCAGTCACAGTTGACGGCGCCCGTTCACGAACATGACACGTACACCAGCACCGCCCAACTCAATCATATTGCAGGGAATCTAGCGACCCAATGCACGTGCCACCGCCAATTCGATCTTTGAGTGAACATGACAACTCCAAGCTGACATAAATGCATTCTACTAGTCCAATTTAATATTTAGTTAATTACAGGGCTCTCACATTAACAATGATTATGCAAGTTAAACCATATACATTTAAGCAACTACGTTGTAATATTTAGGTTGAATTTCATTGACACATCAATGTTTTTCGTTATCCCGTGGAGCTGGACCAGCGTGCATCCAAGCATTTTTATCTTCTATATAATCATTAATTTTGTAATATGCTTGTCTACATAAAGTTTTTTTTATACATAATTTAAATTTCATTTCATTTAGGTGCTGTATATCGCTTGGTATCTTGTTATAACATTTAACACAGAATCCCATGAACGATTTACCCACTTTCGCCAATCTCAAAATTGGCTGACTTAATCTATCCTTATGTCTAGTTTGATAGTGGTGTCTGTCCGACACTTTACCAAATAACTGTAGATTTTTCCTAACATACATAATGTTTTCATAGATAAATTGACATGGAACGGTCATAATGTTGATCTCTTTAAACCTCTCTCTGAGAGATTCGCGACGACCTAGGTTGTAGATAGCTCTGACGGCGCGCTTTTGTAAGATAAAGATAGACTCAATGTCAGCAGCGTGTCCCCACAGCAGAATGCCATACGACATAATGCTATGAAAGTAACTGAAGTACACTAGTCTTGCCGTGCCTATGTCGGTCAACTGTCGGATCTTCCAGACAGCATAAGCTGCAGAGCTCAATCGTCCCGCTAAAGATGTAATATGAGGACCCCATTGCAGTTTGTCGTCTACAGTAATCCCCAGAAAAGTAGTCTCTTTTACAAATTCCAATTTCTCATCATTCAATAATATGTCACATTCGCTGCTTTTAACATTTGGCAAAACAAATCTAATACATTTTGTTTTTTTATCGTTTAATACTAAATTATTTAATGTAAACCAATTTTGAACCTTCATTAAGGCGTTATTTACATCGTCATAATTATTTGTCCGTCTATTCATTTTAAAAACCAATGAAGTGTCATCAGCAAATAAAACCATATGTGGCTCATTTTTAAATAAATGGGGTAAGTCATTTATGTATGTTAAAAATAAGAATGGACCCAGTATCGAGCCCTGCGGTACACCCATAGATATGCTAGCACCCTGTGAGTTTATTTTGTTTATTTGTACTTTGAGTTGCCTATTCTGAAGGTATGATTTTAATAGATTTAGCGATACCCCTCGAATGCCATAATGTTCCAGTTTCAGCAATAATGTCTCATGCTCAACACAGTCAAATGCCTTAGATAGATCACAAAATATGCCAATGGCATCATGTGTCTCTTCACATGAAGCGAAAATCCGCTTAATTAGCGCTACTCCCGCGTCAGTAGAGCAGCGACCTTTAGTGAACCCGTATTGTTGGTCATGGAAAATACCATTAATGTTAAAGTGACGTAGCATCTGGGTGAGCATTAGTCTTTCAAAAACTTTGCTAAGCACTGGTAAAATAGAGACCGGCCTATAGTTGTTGGGTTCTGCACTGTCACCGGATTTAAACAATGGAATCACTTTACTATGTTTCATTAAATCCGGGAAAATTCCTTGATCTATACCTTTATTAAAGATGAAAGCCAAATGAGGTGCTATAGTTTCTATAAAAGACCGACACATCCTAACCGACATTCCCCAGAGATCTTCAGTCGATTTAACTTTAATATCATTAAACGCTTTAATGACTGCGTGAGGGTTGGTGTACTGAAAACGAAAAACAGAAGAGCATTCTGTAACATTGCTTTTAAGAAGCTCAACAGAGAGAGATGGCGATGATTTTAACGTTTCCGTGGTTTTATGTGGTTCCTTTATGTTGCCAGGCACATAAAATATGGAATATCCATAGACTACAAGGTGGATATATCAAAAATTTTGTCTTATCCAATTACCCCAGTGCCATTATCAATGTGCCATTTAGATGGAAATATTTGCAAAACAGATAAATCAGCATTGATGAAGTTCTTGGAAAAAGAGGTACAGCATGAGCATCCACGTCATGTTGACGTATTGATAGTAGATGGTTTTTTTCTAATACACACAATGAAAAACGTTCCAAAAAAATTTGGAAGTATTTCGAAGAAAATGATGCAAATGGTTACTCAGTTACAAGCATTGAGGATTGACGTTATTTTCGACCAATACCTAACACCATCAATTAAGGATTATGAACATTCCCAACGGTTTGAGTCCGCACAATTACCGTACTGCATATCTGGACCTGAACAAGTTCGACCCAGTGATTTCTTGAAAGAATTGAAAAACTCTAATTTTAAAGAAGCTCTTGTCAATTTCTTTATATTACATTGGGCTACTGATGAAATGGCGCCCTTTATTGGTAACAAAACTATATATATAAACTTTAAAAAATGCCATTCTTTCAGCGTTAATAACTCCAAGAAAGTTGTATCAAGTATTTATGATGAATTATCATGTCCGGAACATGAAGAAGCTGACACCAAGATAATATACCACGTGTGCAACATCAACTATCCAGCGAATATAGTTATTCGAAGTGTTGACACAGATATTATTGCCATAATGCTTGGTCACATGCACCGCCTACGAGATGATTCGTTCGTTTGGATGCTCACAGGAACTGGTAATAACTTAAGATATGTGAACCTGACGAAGATACACTCAGAGTTAGGAGAATCTATGTGTCGAAGCCTACCTGGATTTCATGCAATCACAGGATGTGATTACAATCCTGCATTTTTCAGGAAAGGAAAATTGAAAGCGTACAAACTATTAAAAAATTGCGATGAATTCCAGAAAGCTTTCATGAAGTTTGGCGACAGTGAAGTATTTGAAAATTATGATGAACAAGAAAACGTCTTTAATACCATTCAGCGATATATATGCAATTTATATAGTGTTGGTAATATTATTGATGTTGATACAGCAAGATTCCAAATGTTTATAGATTCTTATACAGTCTCTGATGTCAACGAGGCATTTAATCGAAAAAAATTACGAAATTTCGATGCCAGCAGTTTGCCACCTTGTAAAAGTGAGCTATCTCAGCAATTTTTGCGAGCAAATTATATTTGTACCATTTGGAATAATGCTCACCTGAAGAAACCAACAACATACAAACCAGAAAATAATGGTTGGATCCTGCAAAATGATCAATATCATTTTAAATGGTTTGAAGGTGATCAGCTACCAAACTACGTCAGTGATTCTCTAACAACTGTATCAGGTATGTAATTATGATGTTACAATATTATCGAGGAAATTTTGATTATTTATGATTATATTAACATGGATTAATTATTACAGAAACTGGCGAAGAAGAAGACGATATTGATAACGACCAACCCATAGATTGGAGCAGTGATGATGAAGACACTCAAGATATCGACGACTACGATGACAATAATTAAATATACTCTTTTTTATTAATAAAATATCTTTGAAATGTTTTTGAATTAATTATGATTCCTAAACACGAAAATTTTATAAAAGAATTTTCTAAACATTTATTCGTTGATTGAATTTTCATAGTAAATCTAGAAAATAGTTCTCATTATACACAATAAATGACAGTTGATGCGCAGTAAAACGTCGCAAGGGACCGAACGCGCTATTTCACTTGCACCCGCTGACTAATATATCCCTCACGCTCGCACCTACATTAGACTTTTTATGTGCCTGGCAACATAAAGGAACCACAGAAACTGTCTGGCTATTGAAGAAACATTATTTTATAGTTATCCAAATAACATATATAAATTGCAGATTTTATACTATACCGTAAGTATAGTAACAATTAAATATACTTTAAGGGTGTCTGGCAGAGGGTTGGAACTGTACGAAGTGTCTGGCTTTCGGCAAGATGACTTTTGGGATTATTATAAGTCAAATATGTAAAAACTGAGTTTTTATTTTACCAAATTTAACCAAATTTTACACACCTTTATTACCTGATACCTGCGAAAGCCACCGCGACCCAAGTTACATAGACGGGATTCGTTCTTACCTGTGTTGGGGACATACTTTGAGAAACTTACAGGTTTTATACTTTACCGAAGGTCTGCGGGCCGCTGGCTCTTGCTCTATAAAGGAGTTCAATAATACCTTTTCGTGATGTTCTAGAAGCCGTAGAAGAGTTTGGTTGTCAGGTGGAGGTGTTGGTTGTTCATCTTCATCCTCATTGTCTGGTCCATCTTCGTTAGCTGTGTAATGTCGATATGTTAGTGAACATTTATAAAGGAAATAATAATATGTTTGAACTAGTTAAGAGTCTTTAAACTTACCTTCGCCGGAAGATTGGTTTGTACCGCGACTGACGACGCCACTGCTAACGAGATCTGAAGGAGATCCGTCGCTATTTGCAACATCAAGGGATGTGTCTCCACTACTGCAAACAGAACAAACATTATTTTATTCATTTTTTATCCCTGGACTTTGTATTGATATAAGAATATGAAAGATATCTTACGTGGTAGGCTCATTCGTAGTTTCAGGGATGTCTGTAGGTTCAGCGCCCTCTACCTCACAGATATTCCCTGCCGTTCGCCATTGTTGGTACAGCCTGTAGTACTCTTTGCTGTCCAAACTTTGGGCCACTTTGTATTTTAGTTGTTTCTAGAAGATGAGATATAGTTTATAAGCATTTTTAATAAAGCCGATGGCCGAACAATATTCAGTTTATTTTCATTGTATGGATCTTTAAGTTCTTCGGTTACTGTTTATTTTTTATTATTGAACTTAAACTATAAATTGATCTACAAAGTAAGTAAATAACGTAATAGGTATTACATTATCTGCCTCGTTGGCCGAGTGGTCGTATGTGCGACTGCCGGACAAGGGGTCTCGGGTTCGATTCCCGGGTCGGGCAAAGTATTACTGGGTTTTTTAAATATTCTCAGTAGTAGCACGGAGTCTGGAATTGTGCCCGGTATATGGCAATAGGCTCACCCCCTATTACATGGGACTCATAACATAAATAGTGAAATGTGGGTGTTACATTGTACAGTGGTATAATGTGCACCTCTGCCTACCCCTTCGGGGATAAAAAGGCGTGATGTTATGTTATGTTATGTATTACATTATCAGGGTCATCCAAGTCAGGTCGGTATGGGTAGTGTTGGTAGAAGGAATGGTTGCGACGTAGCATCTTCCTCATGCGTGAGGGTCCTTCCGTAGAGTCCAGTGCCCACTTGGCCAGCGCGGGCGCGCGGCGAGGTCCCCACAAGGCGCGCTCCCTGGTGAGTTCCCGCCAGGCGCCCGCCCACTCCGCCTGCACGTAGCGCTGCGTGTGCAGACGGGTTAGCGCAGCCCCGCCTACTACACCGCACCACGCTTGTCTGTACAAATCAACATAAATGTATAAATGTTTATGCAAAGTTTACTAAAAATATTAAACTATTTTATGATTTAATAATTTTAGTTTTTTTATACCACGACGGTGGCAAAAAAGCACACAAAAAAGTTCTTAAGCATAATTTGATTTATAGAAACATGAATATACGCAGTAGTCCAATTTTTCTGATCTTGAATATCTTACGATGTGTAGAAGAGGTTCTATCGTTTATTCTTCTTCCGGCTCAATTACTGAGTAATGAGTAACACAATAAGGATGTCACCAAGATAGTCAAAATTAGTACTACTTTAACTACAAAAATCGACAACAATAGTTAAGTTTCTATTAATTTTATCAGTTTAAGAGTTTTGGACACTTACCTAACAAGTTGTACATGGTCCTGCATATAAGCCAGTGCATGATCTCGCGGTGGGTTAGCTCGTTGCTTGGCCGAGTCTTCTTTCTTTACTTTCGTTCTAGATGCAAGTCGAGTTAGTCCACCAGTAACTTTCTGTATCTTGGACTGAATTTGATTGTGAAGCTCCCATGGGACACGGTAAGTAGCCTAGTGACAAAGTAAGGAGTTAAGTAAAAGTGTCATTTTTAAAAAGTAAACTAACGATTTACCTTATGTAAAGAAGTCACCGCCTATAGAGGTCGCAATTTAAAGTATTTATCTATTGTTTTATTATTTTTACAGTTGTTCATGCTTCATGAACAACATTTTCTCTTGCTTTAAATAATTCTTTTAATTAAATTATCATTTTGCAAGACGTTAAGTAGATCAATACTAATAATAGGTAATTATAACTTACCTTTCTTTCAATATCGATGTAATTGATCCACAGTTTATGTGCGCCTTCATTGAGTTGTTCCCTCACAGTCGTCAGATCGGGTGCTCGAGCATTCCCAACGGGCAGCACTAGTGTTATTTTGAATACTTCTTCTATAGCTGGCTTTTTACATACGTATAGTTCCTCCCAAACACGTCGAGCAGCACCAGCCATTAGATTTCGTCCTATTTAAATAGCATACATATTATTCATTCCTTATAAATATTGTTTTATGTTTTCCACGAAGAATTAATTAAACGCTGCTGAGGTCTTTACGAGAGGCGGCAGAACGTTGCCTTCAAATCGAATACAATTTTGCTTAAATGATATTGTCTTTTTATATAAGTAAGGTTTATTTTATAAAAGCAGACCGTTGTTCCATCTAATCCAAATAAAGTTTTATTTAAGACTTTATTAGCGGCGAAATTTTTTTATTGCTAAAAACTACTTCCTTACTTATCTAAAAGACAGAAAGAGACTGCATACCTTGATGAGTAGTAAGTTTGTCGTCTCTAGACTCCAAATCTCCGCTAGGGTTGACATGCCACGTGGTTCGCATGTGTGAGTCCAGAGCGATCTTCATGTTAGAGCTTAGTTGCAGCAGGCAGTACGTCAGACATCCAATAAATTCTAGCTCGTGATTGCCAGCGCCAAATATCAGTAACCTAGAAATATTCATATTAAGTATTATATAAAGCCGAAGAGATTGATTGTTTGAAAGTGATTGAATGTGTTGTAATTAGACGACGATGGTCAATACTTACTATACATAATTATATTTTTCGCCAATTACAAAATAGTATGATAGAGTAAATGTATTCAAGATTAAAATATTGCCTTATTTAGGCACTTACCTATTAGTAGTAAGTTTGTGTAAAGCTTCCAGCACTGACATCTGGTCTGCTATTGACTCCGTAGAACGAGACAGTAAAAACAGTATAGTTCTGTTTAAACAATGATGTAATCCCTCCAAAGAGATTACTGACGATTTCTTCTTTGCTTGTGTTATCAATTTTACTATAAAATCGAATACCTATAAAGATTTATTTATTTATTAATAACTCTATCGAATAAGGTTTATTCAGTTTACTAATCGTTGTCCAATAGCGTACAGTAACGCTTCCGGTCCGAAAATAGACGGGCGGGTCCGAAAATAGGCGGACGTCGTCGTGATGTAGATAATTATGATTAAATCGCATGTATATTATTTAATTTAGTGTGTTTCACGTTATTATATGAAAATAATAAATTTAATAGCATGATATTTCAATTACGTACCTCGTGAGGATCTCGTGAAAGTTGTCCTTGCCATAGCTTATCAACGAGTCTAGCAGCTAAGTAACAAACATTAGATATATTGGACTCGGATCCGAACAACTCCGTGTTCAGTAAATTCTCCATCAATGTAGTTAGAACTTCTGTTTGATACTCTATCTGTTGCTGGCTGGTTGAATTTGGGGGAGACGCATCCAGTACTAGATCGATTACCTGAAATGTATGATAAGATTTACAATCCTAATAATACTAGTTTTGCAAATCATAAGAATATGTGCCACAAGATATTATTTACAGACAATGCAGTGAAGCTTAAAACAAAGTACATTGACGAAGGCTTACGTAATAGGTATAAACATCCGAGTGCAAGGAAGCTGACGTTATCATGGTCACTATCGCAAGTGTTGGCGGAAGCAAGAAATGTTACATAACACGCATTGTTAATATTGTCACTGCTCTACATAACAAGCGTGCGATAGCCGGGAGATTTACGTACGTTAGTTTTAGTATACAAGTTACTATCAACTGGAAATTAAACTCTAAACTAAACGGATTCAGGTCGATTGTTAATTGCAGCGTTAGTTTATCATTAGTCAAGTTAAAGATGTTGTAATAATAAAATTCCCCATATTTACGCTATAAAAGTAGGATCTCCCTGGACCGGAGTTACATGGAGTACAAAACATTGACGGTGGCACTGAGTCAGTCGAGGTTTCGGGGTTCTAGAACCAATCAAGCTGATACTGTGAGTTAGGCGTTTAAACCCTACCTTCAAATATTAGACGTTAATATTAATTAATTATGTCTCTGTCGGGGACCATTGCAACATGCAAAATATTGAACTACGCACAACAGCAAGACAACACACAGGTGATATAGCAAAATAATGGACAACCAAACAAGATAGCAATAATATATTTAATGGATGCAACACAGGACAGGTTTTTATACAGCGAATGCTGCTGAAAAAGTGTAATGTGTAAGTATATCATAAAAACTAAAACTGTCTTAACGAAAACTTTTTAAATGTACTATTCCCAAAGCATTTACTAGAAAAAAATCCCAGATATTTATAGCTGTCATAATAAGGTTAAATAGGCAGAGAAATGAAAAGAATTTTAAAATCCAATTTTCCTCTATCATATAAGTTCCATATGTTAGGTAGCGAGCTCGACCATTTAAAAGAACAGAATTTAAGAGAACAGAAACAAAAAAATCATGTACATATCTCCGAATATCATGTTTCAAATCACTAATAAATGCATATAGTATCTATTACTTACCGGTGCAGTTTTGCCGGTAACATTAAGAGGTAACGAGTCGAGTACAATGAGACGTAAGAAGTCCATGACCCCCTGTCGGACGGGGTGTTGCGTCAATGACCCCGCCGTGGCCACAGTACTCCCCACTACTACCTCCTTCTCAGACCCCGGTGTAGAAGCGCCTGAGCTTTCTTCGCTCTCGCCGATCGCTGATGTGGCATAATAAAGACATGTCACGATAAAAAAACAATAATGATTATTGAACTGATGAACTGCAATTTAAGACTTGTATATTTAGATTCTAACCTTCTCCGTGTGAGAAGAGGCTTTGCTCAGCAGTGGGCATTTATAGGCTGTTGATGATGATGATGATGATGATATTTAGATTAATAATTTACGTTAGCATATTAGAAAAAAGTACTCACGCATGTGAATATCGTCTGTGCAGTTAGGCGGAAAAAGCATCGCAGCCAGTGCTGTCAATACTTCCGCCATCATCATTATGGGGACGAAGTCGGGCAATGTGTTGTACAGCGAAAATAAAACCTGAATAATTGAAAGAAGATATATGACACCATTCATTCATCCATTGATTTGTAATGACGTTAATTCATCGATATGGGGCCGTTCAAGTATTACGTAAGCAGATTTCTTACCATTTTTTACCCCCCCGCCCCCTTGTCATAAAAAATAAGCAAAGCACTTACTCCCTCCCCCTATGCTTACGTAAACATTTTTAGTAATAAATGTTTTTTTATATTGTTATTTTTAAAATAGGAAAATTCATGGAAATATTAGGTTTAACTGATACACATAGAGTAAATGACAAAAAATATAATCAGAAATAAAGAACATAACTAACATAAAGAATATTTTCGGAACACATTAACAGTCTTCAGTCCATGAAACCTGAATCCATGATTCTAAGTTATCGATGACATTGGATTGCTGCTCAGTGTTGTGAGTCTACTCATTTTCATCCGATTTTGTCCCAGTATGAGATTTTTTAAAACTTTCGAACAGTTTTTGGTATAACTTGGATTTGTCTATATGATATGACATTCTAATAAGATATTTAAATTTAAATAATTAAAACGTTAAACTTTGGCTAATTGCATCAACATAAACACAAATGATAACTTTCAATGCTTACTATACGTTTAGATCCAAACAAAACAATACTGATAGATGCGCACTTGCAGCTTGCGGCCGGCACGAGAGCGAATTATTAGATAAGTGAATAGCGCACGGTAATTTCCCTAATGCGCGGTAATTCCCCTAATCAGTTCTCAAAGCGAGTGCCTACGCATATGTATTATTTGCGGGAATCCCCGAAAAAACTTGAATAACTAACGATGACGTAATCATCATCTAGACCCCCCCATCCCCCATGTCATCCAAAATAAGCAAAACAGAGACCCCCCCACCCGCCCTTGGTGCTTACGTAATACTTGAACGGCCCCTATGCATTGATATTATACCGATATAGTTATTAGATAGTGATCATTTTAAATATATAATAAAATTTTAGCTACACGAGTACAACACGGCGAGTTTCGCGCATCCAATTTACATCTGCCACGATGTTTGTTGCACAATACTGCTCATAACTAGGTATGAACTCCTAGCGTGGTTTAAAATAAGTTGAGTTACCTTATCAAACAATTACGCGAGTCAGTTATAAAACATGGATTAATTTATGCAAGTGCCTGAAAATGTATGTAAGTTTTAAAGATGCTTGCAAAACAGTTAATTTAGACAAGTACACACCTGTACTATAGCGACGGGATGATCGGCAAGCCATTCAGGCGTGGAGTTCTTGTCAGCATGCACCAGGGCGCGGCAGGCGGCCAGGAGGACCACGACGGCGTCGGGACACAGCGATATCCGCGCGGCCAGCGCCGCGGGCGACTGGCGGGGCGGCGCCGCCGCGCCCCAGGCCGCCGCCCACACGCGCTCCACCGACACGGCGCGCTCCGAGCACGCCGCGCGCACCGGCTGCCCCAGCGCCAGTCCGAACAGCAAGTAGTATAGTTCCGGGATCTGGAGGTGTGCTGGGACAAGCCTGGGTGACGAACATAGTTATATGATAAGTTTCTTTCTTCTTAAGTCTTAATTAAAGAAATTTAGACATATAAACGATTTATTAATATTTTATTGAGACGCGAACTTCTTGTGATACCTATATGAGTAACAACGGACTAATGCCTCGTCATCACAATGCGAAATGAGGCAATGGTGTTTTTATTAAAAGCTGACAGCAAACGTCTTGACTATCCAAATAAATAGTAAATACGTAATTATATCTAAAGGTAGATCTAAAACATTATAGATGTATTTTTCTTACCATGCTAACAACGTGAACCCAGGACTATGCAGTAGAGACGTGTGTAAATGTGAGTTGGAATGTACAGTGGTAGTCATCACCACCCCGGCTTGTTGTGGCTGCGCTATCATCTCTGTATGACGCAACCAACCTCCGTTGCCGACACCTTCCCTGAATCTGTACAAAAGAGGACACATATTTTATTCCTTATTCCAAAAATAATACTATTAAATGAGGTGAAGAACATTATACATACCTTTGCAATATGGCAGATTGTTGTCCTTGCCCCGAACACAAAACAACCATTATCCTCAATGCCCATAAAACAGTTGTTGGGTGAACATTCTCCAACATGAAACTGAGCAGCCAATCCACGCCCAACACTCGCGATATCTCTTCACACACAATAGTATTTACAAGATTCCGTTGCGTGAAGAGCAGACCGTGTATCACGTTGAAGCATTTGTTCCTTAGAATAATTTGTTCTCCCTCGCTCTCTGTGTCACTTTCCTTGAGGTTAACTCCTTTCTCTGTTTGTGTCGGGAGTGGTAACGTGTACGCCATAAACTGTCCTAAGCAGAGAAGGTCGCTCGGTCGTGGCTGTCCGCCTAATAAAGCTGCCAGTAATTGTATGAGGACATTCCTTGTGCTAACGACTTTCACGTCGTTTATAATGTAAAGAAGTTTGGAGACGAGTTGTAACTCCCTCATTGTGCGTAGGTTGTGCGTTCTGTGCGCTGTTTCTGTCGCCAGCTCCAGTAAATGTTCTAAAAGAGATTTGATTAGCCCACCAGGGGCACCGAGCCACACTTCTAGCTCGCATATTAAATCCTAAAAAGGAATAATATCGTTAATATTTAAAATGAACTTAAATCACGACTTGAAAATGAATATTATTTACATACCTGAAAGGCAGTTAAGTTAGGAATGGAAGAAGTTTCCTTCTGACTATCAACAGTTCCGACTAGACCAAAAATGAGATGCAGTATGTGTGAGTTGAGCAATTGTTTCTTCCTCTTCAGTAACATTGCTAAAGTCTGGTATCCTTTCCGCCTGTCCATTTCTGCTTGCGCAGCCTTATTGGACCGCACCACACAAACCAGAGCTTTAACACTTGCGTATAAACATTCCACATCTTGAGCCATTGCTATTAAACCTAATAATACTGAGCAGCCGCCTACTGTATCGATCTGAAAGAAAAAAGTACATGACAGATAAAACCGAATAACAAAAGAAATTGTTTATTACAAAAGTTTGTTCGAACTTACCATGATGGCAGCAGGTTTCGGGCAAAATACACGGACACCTAAATAACCGACGACGGTGCCGCCTAAACATCTTGCTGGGCCAATCAAGTGTCCAGCAGAGTTGTGTAATATCCGGATAGGAGTCGCATTTTCATGTGAAGACATACCGAGCATCTTGGCAATAGCCTTGTTGTCATTTTTGCTATATACCTTCCGTATCTTGGCGAGAGTGAGCTGTGACATAGCACGCGCATTGATTCCGAATACCACCTTCTCCTCAGCCACTAGTGGAGCAAGAGGGTCCAGGTACTGTCCCGGCGGTAACGGAGCTTGTAACGTACCCACGTAGTGCGGACCCAGCTGGTAGATTATTGACACTGTTTGTGCTGGTAACACCTGGAAATGTAGGATTATACATTATATTCTAACTTATTTAATAATGTATTACTTACAAAAAAATCGTAAATTTAAAGTTTTTATTTGAAAAATATAGCTGAGAATGAATAATGCTGAGAGTTAAGCCTCTTAAACTAGCGGTCAGTCGCGCAACTAACTGTTTATGGCAACCGCGTCATAACGGCGCGCTGATACGAACCGCCTAGGCGGTCAACCGCTAGAATAGAAGGGGGCACAAAGTTATTATCAAAATATTGCCTTTCAACTTATATAAGATAAAATGACAACAGTATTATCTTACGTCCTCCAGTAAGAGCGCGGGCCCCTGGCGCCAGACGAGGCGCGAGTACCGGCGCCAGTGCGGCGGGGTGCCGAGCACGGCGTAGACGCAGGACGCGCCCGACAGCGTGGCCGCGCCGCCGCCCGGGTTGGCCGACACGTAGTGCAGCTTGCCCGAGTGCATGTGCACGCCTGCAAGGGCACGCTATAGTCATACTTCACCAATACTTGACCAATATAACAATTCATTATTACAAAATTGTTACAATATTCGATCATTTCACCTCTTCTTGCCCTGATTACTATTTAACTTATTTAAAGTCAACATAATTATGTTCATTTTTCACTGGAACATATCATTGCCACACACAATTCTTTGGAAATATACTCACACAATTCAAATACCTACTTCCATCCACATTAACAAAGATGATAGACGTACCATCCAAATACAGCGAGAAGGAAGAATTCTTGAGTACAGCGCGGTTGAGTACGAGTACAAGGTGATGCCACTGCCCTTCATGTTGTAGATCTGGGCACCAAACACGCGCCCCACACTCTCCCGACCCTTCAGGCTCCCACTCACCCACATCTATGAAGATTTGAAGAACTTCATAAGAACATTGATGTATTGAGTAGAGAAAGGTCAATTTGGGACACAGTCTACAGTTACACAGACAGCAATCTTCGGCAAAATGCCAAACCATAAAAATCAAAATCCATTGGACCTTAATTTACTGGAGTGAAAATAGAAATTGATATCCGAATAATAACTTACTATGAGGCACTAAAGTCTCCTGTGTCGATATAATGATAGCTTTATCCCTCGCTGATAATACCATGGTGAGGCAAACGAGGTGCTCATCTCTACTGTTGTTAATATTCCGCACAAGGGTCAATAACCTGACACAATGCGGATCATTGCGAGAGTCAGAGTACTTCTCCACACATATCCACGTAGAGTACGTTAGACCAGTTTGTGGCGGAAACACACGATCACCTTAAACAAAACATCAAGTCACCATAAAATCAAGTTGGACAAAGCAATTGATGGGAATAAAACTCACTGGGCCGCCAACTACCTGAACCGATTCCACCCAGAGTGGCAGTATCTTGCGTTCCTAAGGCGTTTAGATTGGCTGATTGAGGTGCTATACTAGGTAGGTACAAGCACCCAAAGCCTTCAGCTGACATGTCGAATTCAACAAAAGGAGGTAGAGTGCAGGAGTTTTGAGATCTGATGAGAAAAGAACAAAGATTAGTATTCATGGCTAATTATTCCTATAAAATACAATAATATCTATTTGATCATAATAAATTAAACAACGTACCTATAATCCCTCGGCGTCGTCATAGACACGAGTGTCTTTATCCTAGTCAGTGGCACCGGCCCGCCGGGTTTACAAACCTGACCCGGTTCAGGATCCACGCAGTTCAAAGGGTTCCCCATCCGTAAGAATTCCCTGCAAAGGTGAGGATTCGATTTAAGATCCGTGGATTAAACTCAGTTTAAAAAACCACATCTGGGAAAACCGATTTTGATAACTATAGCATTTTAGTACGTTATTTTTGTCAAAATAAGAAAAAGTAGATAAATGTAATGTTACACAAAAGTAACTTTTATCGTATTTACTGTACTCGACTATTATAATGTGTGCACATGTTCAATTAACATTGCTTGGATAACTTAATTTGTCTAGTTGATATAGCTTGTTTTTGTAACAATATCGTGAGACATACTAAATTAACTAAAATTGCGGGTTACTCACTTGAATATACTGTGCATGCTGCTCATTAGGAAGAACCCCTCTGTGGCTCAAAACTAGTAGAGCTTTTCTCAGTATATTCACGTGAGTAAACAGCGATTTAAGTTGATATAGCTTGTGTACTATTTTGAATTAATGTTTACTTTCAAAGCATCAGTTTATATCAGAGCAATCTTGGTAATTAATGAAATATACAAATGTTAAGGATAAAAGTGCACAGACCTTCGCACAAGTTTGTTTTAAAGTAATCGAAACGAGACCGCGTCCAGCGATTTGATTTGTCGGCTCTAATGAACCAACCAATCAGAGGGTCGAACGCGGTCTCGTTTCAATTACTTTAAAACAAACTCGTACTAAGCCCTCAGCTTTTTATCAGAACAATTTTCTACTTAAAATCAAAACAAGCAAGTGTATTATTTGTAGAATCAGCTAATCTGAATCATGACACACTTTGACGATAATGAACTGGAGATAAATAAATGTACAGGTTTGTTTTGAAAGAATACTAGAGTCGATCTAAAGACTGTGGTGTCTGTCGTCCCGCGATAGTACCTGAGCTCTGCGGGGCGCAGCGCGTGCGCGGCGAGCCTCTCGAGCATGTACATGGCGGGCGCGTGCAGCGGGTGCCGCTCGGCGCGCAGCGCGGCGCCGCACACGCGCAGCACGGCGCCCGCCAGCCCCGCGCCACACATCACCTGCTGGTTGCGCTCGCTGGGGGGGGGCATAATACTTGATACTTCAGAACAGTTATAATCATTTTATATATTAATTTTTATAGTATGCTTATATTATGATTGTCTCGTTGGCCGAGTGGCTGCAAGTGCGACTGCCGGGCAAGGGGTCTCGGGTTCCATTCCCGGGTCGGGCAAAGTACTACTGTGTTTTCAAAAAATTGTCAGTGGCACGGAATCTGGAATTGTCCCCGGTATAAGGCAATAGGCTCACCCCCTATTACATGGGACTCATAACATAAATACTGAAAAGTACATAGGTGTTACATTGCACAGTGGCATTGGGCGCCGTAATGTGCATCTCTGCCTACCCCTTCGGGGATAAAAGGCGTGACGTTATGTTATGCATATTTCGGTCATTCTAGTTTTAAGTTTTGTCTCAATTATTTTTCTTTTGTATTCATTGCATGTAACCTTTACACTGTCTCTTATGTTTATATTCCTTTTCCTGTCGCAGGTCTGCAGGAAGAAATTCCTCAAGGGATATGCAGTACCTATGTACCTCATGCGTTTAATGTGTTGTCCTCTGTAATATTATCTGCTGTATGGTGTACATGATAATAATATGATAAATAAACACATTATTTTATCATCATAACCCCGTGAGCTCTTTCTGCTTAGGGGCGTTCCATTATCTCCGCTTGGCAGGCATGAGCTTGCAGTTTAAAAGGTTTCGTTTAACAAGAGAAAGCTACTCCTTGGTGTCGTTAAATGTGCACTGGTTTAGTGAACTCTTACGTTATGACAATATGAGAAGAAATAGGAGTAACAAATCTATTCCACTCTGTTGTCACGTTACATTTTAGTATTTAAATAATAAGTCATACCTTCTCACAAGACTCTTCAGTACATGCGCTAAATAGTCTCGTATCGCTCTAGCATGAGCTTCATGTTCAGGCGGTCGAGGCAATGCTGGTAGTAACTTCGCGAGTACTATGACCACGCCCGAGTGTATCACCCAAGCTTCTCCGTTGTTGCTGCCCGTCGACAAGTTTAGCGGAGCCGTACGACCCGCTGGTTTGGACTAAAAATAAAACATTCTGTCAGTTTTGATACCAACGAAAACAAAATATGACATCCTGGTTTAAGTTTGGTAAGATCTAGTCAATCTTCCGAATTAGTAGCACTTTAGTATAACGCATTTTAGATTTAGTCACATTTTAAGTATCCGACAACGAAAGCTTGAAAGCATGCTTTTAATATTAGCATCACTGGAATTATCATGAGAATAGAACATGTATAAAATTGTTAAAATATGTAAAAGAACAAGTAGAAGAAGACTGAATATGATAAAGTTACCTCATTAATAGCAGAGCTCTGTCGGGTCAAACTCGGAGACTTTACATTGAGCGAGCCGCAGAAGGTCGGTTTATCGAAAGAGTCCAATGCGACATCGTATAAAAGTCGCAGAATGATGCACGCATGCACAAACACTACTGGTACTTTCTCAGGAAAACTGTAGGAAAAGATATGATAAGTGTCATGCCGGAAGTAGAAGCGACAAATTTAAAATAAGACCCATCTTAACCACTCTAACGTCCGGGCCGCGCGACCGTTTATCTCTCTAACGTCCAGCTGCGCGCGGCGTCCGAACCGCGCGCGACTCGCAAGTTCGTCGTAACAAAAAACCTATATAGCTACTGAACCGTAATGGCTAGAATAAAGAAAAAAATACCAAAAAAAAGATTGAAGAATACTGATCAATCTTAACGATTTTTTTAAATCGTAAGTTATAATCTTTGATACAAAAAACCGGGTAAAACATGTAATTCAGAAAAAAAATACACAATTATTTCTACCTTTTTAGAATATAAGGCACAACTATTGCATATTTTATCAATAAAATATTTTTACAACAAACTAGACTTATTACCCTTTCTTCTGATGTATATACAATTACATTCGGTTAACTCTAAGTATTTTAATTCAATCAAAACAAAACACTACTCCTCGTAATTTTACCGCGATGTCCCGAGCGCCCTTGACTCGTCCGAGAAGGCGAAATAATAGCAATATGGCCGCCCGTCTAAGGTTTCCCACACACGATGTAATTTTAATAAAATATTTTAAATAATTTTATGAATTAGTTTTATGCAATAATTGTATTTTTGAAGTTGTTTATTTGTTCTAGTTAGTGTTGCCCAAATTCAGTCTTGGTCTTGCAGTCTTGGTCTTGTTCTTGCGTTTTTGCAAGACCAAGACCAAGAACAAGACCGCATATTTTTAGCAAGACCAAGACCAAGACTGACCGTGCAAGACTTGAGCAAGAACAAGACATAGCCTGCAAGACTCTTGCGTCTTGCAGCTAGGACTTAGCGCTATTTCACTGAGAAGTTAGGTGTATAGGTAGGTACGCTTAGGAATTCTATGAGACGCAAAAAACTGTATCAAAGAATATGAAAAACTGGACCTATGCGCATTACGACTAATACCATAAACATAGCGAATAAAAAAATATCTATTAAAATCAAACTGAGTGCATGCATAGTTATGTTTTAACCATCGGCACTTTGATAATGCGGCATCAAAGGTTTTGTACTTACTTCTCAAAGAAATTTGCCGCTTTTCGGAAGTACATGGTTACGATACACGCGCCGGCGGCTTCTTTTGAAATCTAAAACAATCGTTGCTTGCCACCACGCCGAAATCATAACATTTGACACTATTTGATTGCCGCCATAGGGCGTAGGTATACTCATGCAAAATAATTTCGAATTTTAAGAGTAGAGTTACATTATACTGATCACGCAAGTAGTATTATGATTAGGATAAAATGGTAAGGATAGGTAGTAGATGTCATATTAATTCATTCTAGTAAGTATATATTATAATATTGATTACTTAGGTATATGGTTTTAAACTAATTACTTAGGTACTATTATTGTACATTTAGTCATTATATTTCTTAACTCGTCGATTGTACCAATTTGAGAAATTAGAGATTCTTACGTCATTTCTAGAATGTTGTTCGTAAATATTTCGTGAAAGACTTCGTAGAGTTCCGCGTCGCCGGGTTCCGTATCATTTTGTAATTCTGTCTCGTTGATAAAGCAGCCTAGAAGTCGTATTGTCTCGCACAGCGTTGTCATACATATCTGGAAAGAATATGTTATTTTTAAAGAATCCTATATTTCCGTCGCTGCTCTGCTCAGCTCCTATTGATCGCAGCGTGATGTTTTTAGCCTTCCTCGGCAAACGCACTTTCCAACACAAACATAACTATTCAAATCGGTAGTGTAGTTCCGGAGATTAGCGCGTTCAAACAAACAAACAATCTCTTTAGCTTTATAGAGTATAAGGTTAAGCTGGTGAGAGATTTTCAGCTTTATTGCAAAGCCGTAAGATTTAATATCTATTAAACGAAGAAACAAAGACAGTTTGGAATGGCTTTAGTACTGATAATTTAATACATACCTCATGGTGAAAAAACTTCGCATTAGCTGGTTCGAATCTCATAGCCGTACTAATAGTGTAGAATACAATATGTATTAGCTGCAGCATATCTTTGTCCATTGGTTCATCACCCTTTAATTTACCTTCTAGAGAAACCAGTACACTTGTAACGTATACAAAACCGCTGACCTGTGGGCATGTGTCAAAAGAAGGTGCTTTGTTAATACATAATGTCAGATTGATCATCCCGTGGAAAATTGCAGGTTCAATGTCCATATACTCAAACACCACTCAATTTAAAACGCCCAAGTAAAGTTCTGTCACAAATTCTTTGTAAAATGACATGAGACGGCACTATACTTAATGACTTAAAATTGAGTAACTTCGGGCGTAAGTTCGTCAGTAGTTTAATTTTCTTTATATTATTCGATATATTGTATTCCTTTTTCCATATGTTTAATTCTACTACGGTCTTCTACTTTTTTTTACAAGCTATGGGCACATGTCAAGACGGAATCCCAAATCAAAACCAAAAGAAATAGTTATTTCTGTATTGTGTATTGACATACCTACGTATAGGATCATAGGATGGGTTCTAAGATCGATTTTTGATCAATCTAATCGTTATACCTTGTTCGCACTATGCTAGTATTTTAGTCGAGCAGCGAGTGTTTAGTATATCAAAATCGAAGCGAGAGAGTGTTAATAAATACTCGCTACTTAACTAAAATACAAATTCTCAAAACAAAACAAGGAGTAACCTAATGATAAATCATTAGTATTAAAATACCAAGACACAATTATAGGTTCCTTATCAGAATAAAACATTCTACCATAGATAATTATTACTGGGGAAGTACTAATTAGGCGGAGACACTTGTCAGTTTGTCACATCTAATTAGTGTGTTTTATAATAATGGAGCAGTCAGTTCACATTTGCGTCAATACTGCTCCTGATAACACGAACGATAGACATTTGTACAACAATTAGCACTTTATAGTAGTAGTAATAGAATTCAATTTACCTTTCTAAATATAGTTCTAGTGCGATGCGAGTCTCGTAAGCAAGCTAGCAGTGCCTTCAGTATGTGTAGCTTTAGAAGTAAGGCGTCGTTTGGCGCGGCGTGCATACCACACAGTAGCGCAGACATATCCTCTTCACCTGACCCACTTACTATTAATTCTCTTACTACACCTACAAACACAAATTTTAAGCATTATAATATTTGGTGTTCTTTCTCCTGGCTTTTAGAACTACCTATTAACACTTTCACGACAAAGGAGTCGAGCCCGCCCGTTGCACCGTAGCTCGTCATCTACACTGCACCAGACGTGTAGTATTTTACATTACAAAAATCCGGACATAAATATAATGCACTTTTTGCAATCCGATGGATCGCAATATTAACACAATAACGCATATATTATGTAGTAACAGTAGGTACAAAGTCAGTTAATTAATACATTGGAGTAATTCACCAATAAACACAACCATGTAAAATGAGCCAATGCTAGGAAAAACATTTACAAAATAAGATATATAATTAATCAATTAAAATTCATTGACTTATATTTCAGTACTTACCTAAAGCTTTACTTCTACAGGATTCATACACAACCATTCCATGCACACATTTCGCGCCGCCGCAATCTCTAAACACGTTGCAGTTATTGGAGTTAGCGTTTAATAGAGCGGTTAAGCCTTCCATTACTAATGACCCTAGTTCCTCTTCCTCATCATCTAAGTTAGGGTCCCTGATTAGGGAATCATGGCGAGTCGACTGTCTTTTCTTTCTTTCGGGAGCCACTGGGGATTCATTAGGTTCCACTGGAGGTGACTCCGATTCCCTCTTCGCCTTCTCCTCATCAAGAATCTGTTTGTCTTTCAAGTATACAGCATACCGAGACAGACATGTCACAAACACTTCTAGCATACCCACTTCCCGGTAAACGTCTTTGAAAATTGCGTTGTGTCTGTAAATTGAATTATAATTAGTATTCTATATTTATTTACCCATTACTTGGAATTACGCACAAGGAAAACGTTGAAACTTACTTTAAAATATTCAGAAGTGTCTTCATACATAATATGCTACACGTCCTTGATCTATTAGCTTTCAGTAGCAAAGACAAAGATATCAACTCTTTGCAGGGCACGAAATTTAATTGAAACACGATAAACTCTAGCAATTCGAAGAATTTCTCTTGAATTTCCGAATTCTTTGTGTATATCCTTTCTGAGAATTGACTTAGTGTGTTTTGATTTTCAAGTATGAAATAATTCGCGTTGTCCGCGTGATATACGCTTGATATTGCGTCTAATATCGTGCAGCATAATGCTGGAGAGTTTGACTTCATAAATACTGATTGTAACACCTGTAATGTAATCAACAAAACATTTTAGATGGTATAGCAAATTACGCAGGCATAATATGCAGGACCATCATGCATATTAAAAAAAATCAGTCAAATTCAGATTAATCATAAAGCCCTATGTAAAAATGGTACTGACCTGAAATGCTTGAACATTCCTCACAGCCTGTCCTGGAGTGGAAGGCTGTGGTAGCACGAAGCCCTGGAGTTGGAATAGTTCTGTATTGGCGCGCGTTGGCCGCAGCTCCGAGAAACCACAAGCACAGAGCGACGATACCATTAACACTAGGTTCCGTAGAGCTGCCCTCGCCTCAGTACCACTCACTCTCTCTTCTTCCAACCTATTTGTATAAACCACACAGTTTTCTTACAAAAATGTCTATAAAAACTGTTAATATCACAATCTGCGATTTAAAATCCAAAGGTGCAACACATTTACATGAAAAGTCTAAAACATACAATCAATTAAGTAAAACAATAAGCTACGGTGAACAGTGCTTACCCTGATGTCAAATAATCGGGTACACCTTGTCTCTCATGTCTGTGATAAACAAAACAAATCATAGGTAAAAAAAATAAAAAAACTAAATTATAAAATAAGTGCAGTTACATGCTATAACAACCTACAATATCTAGATTACAAACATGCTCATGCTTTATAGAACATCGAATAAACAATTCACCAAAAACTTACTTTAGAAGGAATTCAGATAGAAATAAGTAGCCTTGGCAAGAACGGAAATCATCCAGTAATAATTGACTAACTTCACTTGAATCCTTTAGGAAACAGAATACAGCTACAAACATTTCAACTACCTGCAAAAGAAATCAATATTTTAGCACTAACTTCCCAGATTAACACTGAAATATGTTAAGCAACTTTGTTCCTTAAAGACAGATTACCTCTAAAGGTGTTAATTCTGGTATCCTTTGCATATTTTCAATGCAAAGCGCAACACATCCCTTATCTGGAATAAAACAGTAATTGATCATATATTATTATCTAAGTTGACCTATTTTCTAATTAAGAGTTTTGTTTATGTAACAAAACATCAGCTTATATTCGAGCAGATAATAGTAGTAATGCTATGAACTAGGGATTATCATAATAGTACAATTTATAAGGTTGAACTCCATAATTTTACAATATATTACAGTACTACTTCCGCGAGGTTTCACACGCTCTGCTCAGCTCCTATTGGTCGTAGCGTGATGTTAGATAGTCTATAGCCTTCCTCGATGGACTATCCAACAGAAAAAGAATTAATACCAGTAGTTAAGAACCAGTAGTTTCGGAGATTAGCGCGTTCAAACAAACAAACAAACTTTATAGTATTATAAGTAATTAGTATAATATATATTAGTATAGATAATATACTAACTAGACTACCTCGTTGACCGAGTGGTCGCAAGTACGACTGCCGGGCAATGGGTCTCGGGTTCGAATCCCGGGTCGGGCAAAGTATTACTGGGTTTTTTTTTTAATTCTCAGTGAGTCTGCAATTGTGCCCGATATATGGCAATAGGCGCACCCCCTATTATATGGGACTTATAACATAAATTGTGAAAAGTGGGTGTTACATTGTACTGTGGCATTAAGTGGCATAATGTGCATGTTATTTTAATACACTATTACTATTATTTAACTTACTGTGTATGTATTGAACAACAGATTGTGTTAATCCATGTCTAGATAAAGTCATTAGCACTTCTGCGGCCGACTTCCTCCACATAATGTTGTGAGGTGCACACCATGATGTTATGGCGGAAAATAATAGACTGAGATCATCTTTTCTTGCTAATTCTTCACATGGAAATGGGTGACTGCATAGCCTTACAAGTACCTAAGAACATCAATATTTCTTTAAGTTATTGCTAATTTAAATATTGTTGTAAAATTCATTAAATTAATTTGTGGAGTTATGCTAAAGACACAAAAAAGATATTAATTCAGCAGACTTTACAGTTATCAACAGTTTGATTGTTATGAAAACAATTAATAAATTTCAGACTACACAAAATTTCGAAATCAGAAGACTTGTAACTGGGGGACATGTAACTGAGGTTTTAACGCAGGAAAATAATAAATTGCAAAAATAGTAATAAGTAGCAGTCAATCATTGTAAATACTTCAGCTGTTTATTACTGTCTAATGAGTCGTAAATATTACTCAACCGGCCGTTGGCATTGGCCCACATGGCATGAATAATGTTATCTTTTGTTATCATAATTTTGCACTCCAGATTACCTAGCTAATAAGTGTCCAACAGTGTACACTAGTGTTAGCAACACTATTCCTGCTCAAAATTATATGAACCATTTTTCAGTATTCCAGGCGTGATATGTTATCATATATGACCAACACATATTTCCGCATAAATGTTTGCATGGATTAGTCACTACAGTACATGTTTATCTAGCTGTTATAATGTATATCAAACATGCCTGTATTCATACATTATTTACTTTTAAAAAATTGAGTCCGATATGGATTATTTGCTTTACTGATATCTTTGTAACATTGGCACCTGCTACCAACAAATATTATTTATTTACCTTTGCAATTATTGAACACAAGTGATAATCTCAGACAAATAAGATCAAGAACTTCCTTCTATACTTGTGTTAGTAATATATTTACATATTTGTATGGATTTTCCTATTACCAATAATCTACAAAGCATCTTGTTTACCTGTACAAATATCTTCTGTAACAAGATTCGTCTTTCCCTAGGAGTAAAGTCACTGTTACCATCCTGAACATCGGCTTCAGACTCAGGTATTTCAGGTAGATCAAAGAACAAGTATAAACATTTCACTAATGTTGAAGGTATTGATGCAGTGGTCATGACCTAGAAATAAATAAAGTTTAACCAAACTATTGAAATTACGATTACACTATTTTGAATAGAGCCTTGAACTGACAGAAACTGTTGTTGCACAAAAACAATGCATCAGTTCCAGTTTGTGTATTAAATTGTAGTGTTTGTTTTTTTAAACAATTTATATTTGTGTAATTACTTCATTATGACTTCATTACATTTGATCAGAGAATGTAGTGCTATAAAAATACCTGTATTAGTGACTGATCACCAGCCGCTAGAAGATTTAGTGTTGATAGTAACATCCAGCCATTACTAGATTCCTCAGAATTTTCTATTTCTAAGAATTTAGCAATAGCACAACTAGCAGCCTCTGTACTTTGGTTACTGGCTCTCTTCCTGATCTCTGACACCATTAGCTTTGAAACTTGCTGGCAGAATGATAAAATATCCCAGAACTTTTCATTCATCTCACTTGATGGACTAGTGCCAAATACCTATTTGAAACAAACACAAATCTTATTAGTAAAGAAGAAAGAAGGTAGGTACCTAGTCAATTGGTTTGCATTGTTTGATATACTACTGTTTGATAATAATAGCACTATAAAAATATGTTTATATTTTCACTTGACTGTAATGGGTAGATAAAATAGATAAGATTCTGCACTCATACAACTTTGTCAGGCCCTTAAAACTAAGATTCCTATTAGATAGTTGTTGAAAGTTCACATTGAATTGCTTATAGCATGTTTATTATTATATAGTACCTAAAGATGATGTGCATCATAATAATATGAGATAAGCCAACATATGTTTAAAACTCTAGTAGTAAATTCCTAAACTTATTCCAATAAAGAATTGCTGTTTTTGTAAAATATTAATATTTTTACTAATATTCAGTATTTATATAGGAAAGAAAAAATATATTTAGTATTTACCTTACAAAAGAGAGGTAGCATATTGTATACTTTATCATCTTTCTCGGCATCTGTAAGGGGTTGCGGTGGATGTGTATACTCCGCAAAGAGTTTTTTAAGGTGCATGAGACCAAGTTGAACGTGAGACGACGAGCTCGAGGCTTCGGCAGTCTCAGGAGACGCCGAAGAAGTCGCCCCACGCAATTTGCGCATTAGATTCATTTTTAGAAACGTAATCGATACTTTCACACTTTTAAACACATCTTAATTTTTTTTATTCATGTAGAAATAAACATTTTAATTAAATAATAATAAACATTGATTTTCATTTATATTTTACACAGTGGTATCACCATTTTGCACTGTTATTGGACAAATGTAACGTAAATTAAATACATGACTTATAAAGGGCAAACTAAAAATATTATGTAAATGACGATATTTTCTAAGTTTTTCTTTTGTAAATTGATTGATTATTTTCTGATACTTTCGTACGCCCACACTGCAAAGTGCTTGCCATAGATTATCAAGATATTTATCAAATATCAATCACTTTTGACGAAATGACAAATGAAATGCTCGTTGGTTTTACCGATTGACAGAACGCTTTATCATGTTGGTCGAATTCTTAAATGAATCCAGCCTTAATAAGCTGGCTTAGGTAGGTTATTATTTTATTGTAAAATATGAAGAAATTTTTGTTTATATAATATTTAAGTTTTTTAATAAATTAGGTAGTAATCTCGATCGTAATGAATATCGAGAATAAGTTATTCTGAATAACGACTGAAACTGACATTAGATGATATGTCAAAGTCAAATTTGTCAGTGTCATTTTGTTATTGACAATTTGTCATTCGTTTTGTGTTGCAGTTCGTTCGTGCTACAAAAATAGCATTTCCGTTTTATAAACGTAAATTCTTCGCACGCAGTCTTAATATCAAGATCCACCTTTCTTGAATTAAAATGCCGGAAAGTCAGAATCTTGTGCAGTGTTATAATCGTGGCTGCGGTCAACTTTTCGACCCCAACCAAAACGACAAAGGTTTGTTAGCGAAATTTCTAGACTTTTCCGTAGCCAGGTTCTTACAAGAAAGTCATCCTGCGATTAATTGCTGTTTATTTTCGTCATAGAATCTTTAAAACAGTAAATAATTGCTGAAAGTTGATAACAATATGTATTGTATAAAGTTTACTTTGATTTTCAATTTGCCCTGGTTTTTCAAGAATACAAAATCCTTGGTACAAAATTGCATGTGTATTTTTCAGATGAATGCCGTCATCATCCGGGTAGTCCAGTGTTTCATGATGCATATAAGGGTTGGTCATGTTGTAACAAGAAGAGTGTAGATTTTACAGAGTTTCTAAATATTAAAGGATGTACAGTGTCGAAGCATTCTAATGTGGTCAGTACCTCTAAATATTTACATAAATATTAATGTTAATTCATGAATTGATTTTGTATGTGTTTGCATTATATTGCTTATCCTTTATCCTAAATTTACAATCTTCATATTGTCTTATCAGAAACCTCCGGAACCAGAGAAAAAGGCTTTGGACAAAGATTTGGATAAAAAGGAAGTGATAGAAGTGAGAGCTCCAGTAGTTGGTCCACAACTGCCAAGACCTCCTTTTGACACACCCTTGGTTACACTGAAACCTACAGTCGCTGAGGCTCTGAAACAAGCTGTACAAAATACATCACAACCTACTGCTTCCACTGATGATGGGTATGTGAATAAACATTCCAATTAGGTTTATATATTATGTGAATAATTAGATTGTACAATTTACCCCAAATGTGTTATTCAATTCAAGATTATTGATGTAATAGTTATTCTGTTTTTAATATATTAATTTGACTGTTTTAATTTAATGTTTCCTTGGAAACATATAGGGTTAAATTTTTGATAATTGCAAATCATGGCATTTATTTTTGTCAATTATCCTTACTATCCTTACAAATATTATAAAATCGGAAAGTAAGTTTGTTCCGCTTTCATGCCGTAACTACTAAACTGATTGCTTGGAATTTTGCAGATGTAAAGTTAGAAGTCTGGATTAAATAATAGGGTACTTTTTATCCCGGAAAAAAATGATATTCCCGCGGGAAATTACGTACTAATTGGAAATCTCACACTTTAATCTATAGCGCTATCTTCACTTATTCAGTGCACTTTTCGACTCATTTATTTGCTGTTTAATAAGTCAACTAATTACTAATTGGTATCTATTTAGTAGTTACGCTATTTAGCGATAGATGGCACTGGGTGTTTTTAAAAACGTGATAACTTTGTGTTTTTTAAGTATTTTTCGCTTTTAAATTTTGGTTAGTTGGAGTCCTGGAAAAGCAAGGCTTTACTGCTACAGAACTTCTCATTCCCACGGAAAAATCTAAAAAGCGCGATATAACCGAATTCCACACTAGTGGAAAGCTATCCTATAGTTAAAAGCTGTAAAGCCTAAGCTAAAAGTTTACCTGTCTTAAACGGCAAAACGGAGGTACTAATTGACGTAATTTTTAACTGAAGATAGTTGAAGGGGTGGATAGCCACATAGGCTACTTTTTATCCTTTTGTGACGCGAGCGAAGCCGCGGGTTAAAGCTAGTTTATAAGGGAAATAGACTTTCACTGGTTTCTTCATCATGTTTACAACTATCTCAGTATTAATTTGCCCCTATCAATTTATTTTCACTTTTTCATTCGCAGAGTTGTAGCGATCGGCACAGCTTGCAAGAATGGAGGTTGTGGTGTCACTTATGACGGTCCACACACAAATGACAGCATGTGCACTTACCATCCTGGCTGTCCGGTCTTCCATGAAGGTTTGAAATTCTGGTCCTGCTGTCAAAAGAGAACTACAGACTTTAACACCTTCCTCAGTCAGCCTGGGTGTACTACTGGCACTCATAAATGGACTAAAGAGGTTTGTTTATTACTTTTATAAATGTATGACAGTTTTCTGTGGATTTAACCATGACTCAAAAAATTACAAAAATATTTTGTTTTAATAATATTCTTTATTAAATTAATTTTTACTTCTTTTTGCAGGGTACACCAGCTGGAACAGTCAAGTGTAGATGGGATTGGCATCAAACACCTGACTATGTTATTGTAAGTGTGTATGCCAAGAAATATGACCCAGTACTAAGTTTTGTCAAACTGAACCCTATTCGTCTAAATACAAAATTAGTATTCCGAGAGCAAGGTGATGCATCATTTGACTTAGATCTGGAGCTTAGAGGTGTAAGTATTTCTTATAAAAGCTATTTGTTTATTTGAGTCATGAAAATACTAGATATTTTAAACTTTTAATTTTATTATTTACAGGTTATTAGTGTGGAAAATAGCAGTGCATCAATGTTGTCAACAAAGATAGAGATCAAACTGAAAAAGGGTGAACCAGGTGCATGGAGTAAATTGGACTTCCCTCGCACAGAGCCAAAGAAAGTGGAGAAAAAACCACAAGATGTCCAACCTGCAGAAGATGACTATGAAGACTTGTCCACTGTTGAAGCAGTACAATCTATGGGGAAAGTCAATGTGTCTGGTTGATTAATTAGTTAATATCAATATAGTACATTTCTATTTGACTATATTCTTTTTTATCAAGCACAATGTTCTATGTGACATCTAGGTATTTAATTGTATATGAGTGCTCCCCTAGTAGATGTGCATTTATTTTCTGAATGAAATAAATTGTGCTTTTACTATTTTGTAATTGCTTTCATTTATATTCGTTAGAAATAAAACTACATAGAATAACTCCTTGATCAAATCAAAACGTATTTATATACAAATAAAAGAACATACCATGCTATTGTCTTTACAACATTTCATCAACACATTTTTAAATATTTTCTTTAATTTCATAGCGCATTAAATTTAAATACATCTTAGTCTATGTAAATACAATAAATTACTATAGAATAATAACATTTACAAAATTTATACAACATGACTAGGTTGACTTGACTAGATAAGATTCAAAAAGGTACATTATTATCTAATTCTTTCAGATTTAAATACTCTCGTTACACTTTATGTTATTAGAGGATAGACTTTTATATAAAACTAGCTGTTGCCCGCGACTTCGTCCGCGTAGATTAATGACTTCTGACAGAATTAATCAGAATCAATTCAGTGCTCGAGTAAGATTTACCTATTTTGAAATGATTTATCGTAGTTTCAATAAATAAATAATCCCGCAGGGATCTTACCAGTACAGTGCCCAATCACGTAAGGTTTGGGTAATAAAAACTATTCTATCGACTATTGTTGTACCGAATCTCTCTAAAATAAGTTCAGTGGTTAAGAGTTAGAGAGCCCTGGGGCATTGACGCATAGTTCCCGTTCCCGTGGGACATCTGTGATAAATACTATCAAACGTTACCCAGGTCCCAAATCATCGTTTTACCGAATGTAATTCTAAAAGATTCAATGATTCTACATTCAATGGCTAAGAAGATTTATACAAACTCTAATTCCCTATTTTATCCCTTTAGGCCTTTAGGGGTGGAATTTATCATATCCTTTAGATATATCCTAAGTAGATACCTATGTCATAGTAACTTTATGCATGCAAAGTCTTAGCCCAATCGGTTTAAAACTGGCAAAGTATCATACAAACTTTCACCCCCTATTTTACCCACCTTGGGGTGAGTATGTTCAAAAACCTTTCTAAAGGGACGTTTACGTCATAATATCCATCTGCACGCCGAATTTCAACCCGATCGGTGTAAAACTGACAAAGCTTCATACAAACGTTCATCCCCTACATTACCACATTGGAGGTGGAAATGATCATAAATCCTTACTTGGGGATGCCTACGTCATAACGTCTTCCTGCATGTCAAATTTCAATCCGATCGATTTAAAACTGACAAAGTCCCATACAAACTTTCATCCCCTATTTTACTCCCTTGGGGTGGAAATTATCAAAATCCTTTCAAAGCGGATGCTTACGTCATAACATCTATCTGCATGCCAAATTTCAACCTGATCGGTTTAAAACTGACAAAGGCTCATATAAACTTTCATCCCCTATTTTACCCACTTGGGGGTGGAAATTATCAAAATCCTTTCACAGCAGATACCTACGTCATAAACATCTATCTGCATGCCAAATTTCAACCCGATCGATTTAAAACTGACAATGTCTCATACAAACTTTCATCCCCTATTTTACCCACTTGGGGGTGGAAATTATCAAAATCCTTTCACAGCGGATGCCTACGTCATAACATCTATCTGCATGCCAAATTTCAACCCGATCGATTTAAAACTGACAATGTCTCATACAAACTTTCATCCCCTATTTTACCCCCTTGGGGGTGGAAATTATCAAAATCCTTTCAAAGTGGATGCTTACGTTATAACATCTATCTGCATGCCAAATTTCAACCCGATCGGTTTAAAACTGACAAAGTCTCATACAAACTTTCATCCCCTATTTTACCCCCATTGGGGGTGGAAATTATCAAAATCCTTTCACATCGGATGCTTACGTCATAACATCTATCTGCATGCCAAATTACAACCCGATCGGTTTAAAACTGACAAAGTCTCATACAAACTTTCATCCCCTATTTTACCCCCATTGGGGGTGGAAATTATCAAAATCCTTTCACATCGAATGCTTACGTCATAACATCTATCTGCATGCCAAATTACAACCCGATCGGTTTAAAACTGACAAAGTCTCATACAAAATTTCATCCCCTTTTTTACCCCCTTGGGGGTGGAAATTATCAAAATCCTTTCACAGCGGATGCTTATGTCATAACATCTATCTGCATGCCAAATTTCAACCCGATCAGTTAAAAACTGACAAAGTTTCATACAAACTTTCATCCCCTTTTTTACCCCCTTGGGGGTGGAAATTATCAAAATCCTTTCTTAGCGAATGCTTACGTCATAACATCTATCTGTATGCCAAATTATAGCCCAATCTGTCCAGCGGTTTGGGCTGTACGTTGATAGATCACTATGTCAGTCAGTCAGTCAGTCAATCACCTTTGAATTTTATATATATAGATTCTCTTCAGAAAATCTATTTAATTATTTTCTATGAACTTTTATTAGATGGTCTATAATAATAAATGCTACGAACTCTTATTTAAAACAATATTCATTGAAATTCGACTCAAAGTTCCAAATCGAACACTAACTGCTCTAACTGTTTAGAGTCTAAACTATGTCGACGAGCAAATACATTACGGTCATTGTGTTATAATTAAATAGTTTATTATCAGCTCGGCCAATCAATAATCAGCATTTTGCTCGTTAATTAGTACTATATTGCCAACTAATTTGTGTTGTATCATGCTGACAGTTGACAGAATCACTTCGTAGTGACATTTAATCATTATCTAATGAAACTTTGGATTTGGTAGTAATATTTAAATTTCAGAGCAGCGGCAAAAGTACATTTGCATGGAGCGCCCTCGCCTGGGGAGGACGAAAGGGACTGTCAGACTCTTACTGAGTAAAACCCACCCCTTTGTCCCGTCTCACACGTGGGTACGAGGGTGCGGAAGTCACATTCTTCGGCAGCAGCGGCAAAAGTACTATAGCAAATATACAAAAACAATATAGGTAGAAAGAGTACTTAAGTCACAGCATAAAATAGAATTTAAGTGCCTTTTCCTTCGCTCCAGTGTCCGGGAAGCCAGCAGCACTATTAAATATCATTAAGTAAGTTACTAAATTATTATGGCGAGGAACAATGTTCGCTAGTAGGTGGTGGGGGTGGATGGAATGCAGGCGCGGGCGCAGGCTGCATGCGGTACATGTCGTGCAGTAGTGTCGCCACCGACACGTCGCCCACCGTGTCGCGGAACAACAGCAGCTCTATGGAGCGCGCGCGCACTGCTCGTAGAGACGGGAGTAACAGGAGGAGGCGCCCGAATCTAAATGAAATAAAGTAAAGAACTAAATGTAAGGTTGATTGCAGGCTTATTTGAGAAACAAGTGTAGAATATACTAGATATTCTTTGAAAACGGTAGGGTTTGTAACGCCTTTGAATAATATCATAGCAAATTATTCAGTCCGTACATATGCTATAAAATGTAAGAAAAACGATAGGTATATAAATAATAGCTACTTCCGCGCGGTTTCACACGCTCTACTCAGCTCCTATTGGTCGTAGCGTGATATTTTATAGCCAATAGCCGTCCTCGATAAATGCGCTATCCAACACAAAAATAATTATTCAAATCAGACTTGTAGTTACGGAGATTAGCGCGTTCAAACTAACAAACAAAAAACAGACTTCCGTTTTATATAATAGTATAAGATAAGCTATTATCCGCGTCGTGTGTTATTCGCTGATACTTACCATCTGGATCCGTTCCCCAAAACTAGGTACCCTACCTAAATATTAAAGTACCTACTTAGCCACCTCCTTATTATATTTACCTGGTTGGTTGTCTGGTATATCGGGTCCGTACATAATCAGCCAGTATGCACTGAGCCTGGTCTTGTAACATCTCCACAGGCTGAGTCTCGATTAGTCCCGGTGTGTCTAGGCCCATAAATTAAATACATCAATTAATATTATGTTAGTCCGTAAATTAAAACACATAGGTACATAATTTGTACCTACAGCGTCGCAATGGATACTGAATAGCCTAAGTTGACAATACCCAGATATTGTCAACGCATATATTAAATATTTTAGCATACATATAGGCATTGTGTAGTACAATTATGTATTCTAGGTATAGTAAACGATGATATATCTAGAAAATGTATTGAAACTAACCTGGTGAGAAAAGAACAATAGCCTTCATACACCCACACTCGCTGCCATCGGGAGCTATTTGACGAAACCGACACAAGATCTCCTGAAACAAGAGAAACATTTCATTATTCGACATGTGAATGGCTTTGTTTAATTTATGATTATGACATCGAAACATTTTTTCAGCGTCACAAAGGCTATATTATCAAAAATTATAGTGTTTCCAAGTATCTATGAAGTAGGGAGGGAAATTTTATAGGTATCACTAAACTTTACCTACGATTAATTGCCATAGAAAGCCTAATACGAGAATAGAAGTAGAGAATGCAATCACTTCAAATTTTCCACGTTAAACATCTTTCAACTCACCTGTAATGTATTCAGTTCTAAGTCAGCCAATGGATCTGGCGGCAATCGAGCTCGTGCTGCTGGCGCTGCTAGCAATGGTGCCAGGTCCCATGGAGCTGACCACTGTGCCAGGTGCAGCAGGAACAGGTCCTTCCAAGCAGCTCGTAAGAGGACCAGTTGGTCTGAAGCTGCTAGAGCCTGGAAAGGCGCTAAGCACCTCACCCAACGCACCGCCATGAAGAGAAGACGGGCACTTGTTTCCTACGATTGACAATTTGAGTGGTACAAAATTTGAATTTAGTGTAAAATGAATTAACAAAATAACTTTTAACTGTCTTTTACTTTAATTGTATTAGGTAGTAGGTACCAAGACAGTTGCGTAACCATGCTTAGGTACAGGTATGTAAATTAGTGTTTACTGCTGTAGCAAGTGTTGTGTACAACAAAATACATAACACCAAAGTTTGTACATAAAGTAACGGTGCCAAACGTGCACACTGTGACATAACGGAACATAAGTCAAACGTCGATGACTTCAGCGGCGTAGCGCTACGGCGTAGCGCGTAGCGGGCGATGGGCGGAGTAAGTCAACTGAAGGCGATAAGTCACCTAGCGACCGCCCAATAGCGTCTCGCACCCGCCCCTTTAGTCAAAAAGCCACCTATCAAATGTCTATATGGTGCACACCCCTTGAAGGAAACCCAAAGTTGCAATAAAGTAAAAACGTCTTTATTCAAGTTTCGGATAAATGAAAAGTAATATCTTCAAAATAATTAAAGTAGTTTACCTGCAATAGCTCCCATGTCGGCGCAAGGGGTGCACCAAAAGCACTTGGTGGTGGTCGAAGCAAAGTTGGGTCGCCCTGTAATTGTAGCTGTTTTGCGCTCCACATCAATTCCTGTGTGAGAAATTAAGGTAAGTTAATTAAAATGTAAAGGTAACCAGAGCCTTCCTAAATGTAATACATCACAATAGCGATTGACTTGGAGTAGTTAGCGGGTCTTAATTTAAGAAAAATGCCTTTAATAGGGTTTGAATAGATTTCCTCACCTGGCATTTATCGGAGGACATGAGGATATGTAGTAAGCCTGGAGGTGGTGGGGCTAGGAACGGCTCTGGGACGAGTGGTAGAGGACTCGGAGCCCCCGCGCCCCCACCGGCGCCACTAGACCCCGCCGAGGAAGCCGTGCTCAAGGGGGCTGGCTCGCTCATACCACTGATATTGAACTGTTAGATGTGACAATCAGATTGGATTTATTAGACATTTTATCTAATGTTTCAAGTGCTTACATTGTTTAGCGGAACTAAACTATAATAAAATTATCTATCCAGTTATAGTAAGGTCTATCTACGCATGCATGTAGGTATTAAAAGTATGTTATGTTTCCAAAACTCAATCAATACACGATTTCCTGGTAGTGCTAACGTCTCTTATAGGACTTATCTCATATAATATTATCTAACTTGCAATATCATAAATTTCTTACTTGAAAATTGAAAGTTTGCGGCAATGGTGTGTATGGCGAAGGTGGTGACAGCTTGAGAGCGTGCGGCTTGTGTGCGTGGTTCATCGACGGTGGGCCCAGCGCGCCCATAGCGCCAGCCTGCAACTTCGGCTTACGAGGACCTCGTTCATGCTGCACCGCTGCGAGATATGTACCATTTGAGTATACAATCTTTTGTGTAATTTTCAGCGAGGATGATGCCTTTTTATAGACAAATATAAAAATTTGAAAAAGATAAAGATTCTATAGAAAACCAAGACCATACCATAATTTTCTAAAACATCTTATCTTCTCACTTAAAATCACCAACATCTATATGATTACCTGGTATTCAATACGAAAGAATATTGAACAAAAGTATTTGACTATTTTGACTACATGTAACTCGGTAGTTGTTTTACACGTGGGATTATAGAGCCATGAACCGCTTATTCTGGCGATCCCTCGGTAAGCTGGGATCGTCCGCGCCTCGCCTGCCGTCGTATAATGTGCAACTGAGGGACGTGCTCATAGGGCTCATACCGCATCGCGCCCTTTGACCGATCATGTGCTTATTATTTTGTTACGAATATTTTTATAGCATTCATTCTAAAACATTCATGCTAATTCTCTTATTCAGAGTCGTTGGTTTAGAAACGACCATTTAGGCTTAGGGTACTGAACTTAGGGTATCATTTATTGTCGGGATCTATTTGAATAAGACTTAAGTTTTGGTGGACCAAAAAATTACGGTTATTTAACTATAGGAAATAGGCATGTCAAAAGTAATTAAATCATTAAATACAACAAAAAATACATTCTTATCACGTTAACATAACTCATCCAAGTCAAAATCAAATCTGATGAAGAAGTTTAAAAAAAAATGTAAACCGAATTGTTTTAATTGTACGTCCAATGTGCACGGAGCCTGTGTAGGGATGACGTCACGCAATCAGCTTAACGAGGCTGAGTCCATGAGAATGCGGCTATTGTGCCCGCACATGTCGGCGCATACGCTGCGTTCCCGCGCCGCCACCGCTTCTAGTGTCAATGAAATAATGATGCAGTAGGTCAACTTTAAACAAATCGACTCTTAGTTTACCTTCAAAGAGTAGGTGTCTATCTTTAATAGTTTATACGAAAATGTTGTGATTAAATCATGTGTAAATGAATTAAGACAGTTATTACTTATAACACATATGTATTTAATTAAGTTTGTCTACGTTTTGTTTTGTCAGTGTAAGTATTAATAGATATATCTACTTTATTTATCGACTGCTGTAAGATTTTGGTTAAGACGACTTTTCGACAGACAGGTTAGATAATAAGTTTTAAGTATAAGTCCTCGTACGGGATAAACACGGGATAGTACTATTTGCGGATGATACTTCGTTATTATTTAAACTTAAACGTAGACAATTAGTCATTCATAATGTGAACAATGCTCTCTCGGAAGTAGTACGCTGGTTTAGTGCCAACAACCTATTACTAAATGGAACTAAAACTAAATGCATTAAATTTACAACACCAAATGTTGGACATGTTAAAACCAGCGTGCTCATTAAGGGTGAGCCCTGTAGATTCTGCTGTCTTTTTAGGTATAACCCTAGACGCTAAGCTCCAGTGGGCTCCACATATAGATAAGTTATCGAAAAGGCACAGTTCTGCAGCATATGCCGTTAAAAAAATTAGAAAGTTAACCGATGTAGATACAGCGCGATTAGTATACTTTAGTTATTTTCATAGTGTCATGTCATATGGTATTCTCCTATGGGGGAATGCTGCTGACATTCAATCTATCTTTGTTCTGCAGAAGAGGGCCATTCGATCAATTAATAATCTTAGTCCGAGGTACTCTCTCAGGGAACTATTTAAAGAAATTAATATAATGACTGTTGCCTCTCAATACATTTATGAAAATGTAGTATATGCTCATAAAAACAAAAATTTATTTAAAAAGCATAGTGATATACATAATATCAACACGAGAAATAATGACAAATATGTTGTTCCCACTACTAGACTAAAGAAAATAAGTGGTTCGTTTAGATGTCAGAGTCAGAGCTTTTACAATAAAATTCCCAGCCATATCCAAAATTTGAGTCTAAATAAATTTAAAAATGTCATTAAAGAAAAATTTTATAGTAAAGCTTTTTATAAAATTAAAGACTACCTAGATGATAGTCTGGCTTGGGAATACGCTGCTGTAACGTCCACACAGGTCATGTTGACATGTTTGTAACATATAGTTACATTTCTTGACATTGTTTTTCATATATTGTTCTAACTTGACATTTGCTTTTTCCTTTACAATTGTTAGTGCTAGGACCGTGCGAGACTTTGCCTCACCATTTCTTTTGTAATTACCCATATTCTGACAGTTTGAGTATTTGTGCGACCCACGCTAATGTTCTTTAGGTTGGTATTGTTCGTCGAATCAGTCAGCCTCACCTGTTAATTGAGCCGACTGTAAACCGACACATGCGTACTGCCTTCAGAACGGGTCCGCTCAAACTGTTGTGGTTCTTTCCTCAAAAGGCCACTACAGAAAGAACTTGCACGGTTCTCACACATAATCTATTATACATATTGTCTGGACTTTAAAAGAGACAGACCTCTGAGTTTGTTTCGGCATTTCTTCTCAGAGTAGTCAGTTAGGAAATGTCGACCTCATCGTTCGCTTGATAAAATTGACGTGTAAAAGTGCTGCCTTGTAGCCTATTTGCAGAAATAAATTCACTTGTTTCACTAAGTTTTTGGTATGCGCCTTCTGCGTTCTTCTGTGTAGTGACATTGTGTATGCGGCTTAGCAGACGATACAAATGCTGACGGACGCACTATTGGTATAGCAGGCTCCGAGTACGTAAGTGGGGACTTTAAATATTAAATGAAGATTCTAAAATGGCTTTATAAGGAATTAGTAACTCTATGTTCTCCTCTCTAATTCTACTTGGTACTTAGAAGTACCTAGTGTAAATTATTAATTATTTATAATCTTTATATATAAATTAAGGTTTTAGTTACCTACGTTATGTGTTCGAGTTATATCTAACTCGAACACATAACGTAGGTAACTCTTATCAGAGAGCTTTAGAAATGAAAAACACAAAAAAGGACACCTGTACCTATTTTCATTTAACGTATCCACATAATTTTCCATGAGGACGTTTACTGGAACTAAAGTTTTAAGTAAATGTATATACTATTAAAATAGTCAGTAAGTAATACTTACAAATTAAAACTAAATTTTGTTGAATAAGTATACTTAGATATAATTTTTGTTTTTCAATGGCTGAAACGCTCAAAAGTCTTTTAAACAAATATTACGGATAACTCACTGCACAAATACTACCTTGACATGCACAAAAATATTTCCAAAACACTAAAAATAAATATCTACCTACCTATATTTTAGCATTCATAAAACACATCGCGTGTAGTGCATTGTCAGAGCAACTGATGCAATGTTAACCTTTTGTTTATGGGGCGCATGTAATCCCAAATACAACACGTGCTTTTTTTCACGACGTCATTGGCTTCCCTCACACACATTACACACACGACAATGGACTTTATGACATCGCTATACGACACACATTCACTAATCTTCGATATTTAGGGTCGGTTAAGCCAAGGGGCTCAGTTTCCACTGTGACGCGGATAAGCGAGATTTTAATTAAATGAAGGCGAAATGTGTAACAAGTTTTACATTATCTGATGACTCCAGTGAAGTTTGCGGTTTAAAGATATTTTGATAACTATCTTTTTACTTTTGTGACGTTGATTCGTCGGCGTCGTAGCGGACGTAACGGCCGTAGCGGTGCTACGCGCTACGCGTCTACGACAGATGAAAGTAATAAAAGAAACTATGTACCTAAATTTTTACCAAATTTTATGTAACGAATAAATATGTATAAACATCATAATACGATGATATTTTAATTTCTGTCGACAAGTCACAAATTGGGGCCGACGGTTGGTGCAGTGACAATAGTTTTTGAGCTGTCATTTCCAGTAAAGCTATAAGTATTTTTCCAAAAGTATTTTTAAATACATAGATGATAGAGTAGATAGCAGAAAAAACTAATATTCATACCTTAGGTATTGCTAAAAAATAAAACATAAAATCTCAAGTTTAGGTTAAAAAGTAAATAAGTGTACTTGAGTCCAAAAAGTAAGTGAACATATCTTTAAAGTTAAAATATAAAGGTTTCAAAGAAGTTAAGTATCCACCGCTTAAGCTGATATAAAAGGCGCACAGTGAATCACATTGGCAACGTTTAAAAGGGAGATTTAACTTCAAACGTGTATCGACAAGCCCCTCGTTCACCGAATTGAAAGCAAACAAAACATGTTTTTCAAAAAGGTAGTTGGTACAAAAAGTATTTTTTATTTATTACCCGCAGGCTTTGGCGGGCCGACGCCAATTACATTCACTACGTTTTAATTTTGTGTTTTGTAAAATAACTCATGTTAATGGCGTTAAAATTGTGCAATTAGAACACGAGACAAAAGAGATACCTATCTTTGCCTATCTATGTCGCGGAGAACCTAACCTAACCGGGGGCTCCGGCTCAACGTGCAGGAGAAGGAACGGGGTGGTTTTTAGTCAGTAAGAGTCTGACACTCCTTTCCGCCTCACCCAGGTGGGAGCAGAAATTAGACGATTTTCCCCCCTTAAAAACAATCGTTGCCTCTTCATATTTGTATTGCAATACCTACGAACATATTACTGCATACATTGATTATTGTCCAAATATTCCTATGAACTAACATAAAAATTCGACAGAAATAATCTACACTATGCACATCACTATTATCTATACAAACTTAACTACATGCATAACATCGTTACCAAAAATCTCGAGTAAATTTTGCATACGAAACGCATACTCAATTTTAAGTCGCGCTCACTGCTAATTCTTTTGAAAAATGAAAGAGATAGCAAGATATTAAAGTACAATTTAAAATTGCCTTGCAGTATGCGGGTGAAAGTATTTGTATAAGTGGCGGTTGGAAATATTTGCTGATTACTTATTTGTAAGTAATATATCACAAGATACAAAAAATTAATTTCCGGGCGACCGAAACGAAAATTAAAACGATAAAGCTGCTTCAAACACTAAATGAAGATCATGTGAAAATTCAGCATCGTAGGTAA